ACAAGTAAGAAAAAAGTTTTTCACAAAAGAAGTTATTTCTTACTTGTAAGTAAATTTTGTCTCATTTCAAGTGAAGTAAGATATTTCCATTAAAAACAGACCAAAAATACTTGGTAAGATTTTGTTTTTTGCAGTGTTCAGGTTGTACACGTTTCCATTTTTACACTGCAAAAACACAAAATCTTCAGATATTCTTTGTCTATTTTCTCATGTAACTAACTTACAAGTAACTTTGCGGCGCGATATACTATCTTATTTTAAGTAAATAGTTCCTTAATATTGTTGAAAAAGTTCCTGTCCCATTGGAAGATTATTGCACTTAAAACATTTTTTTCCTACATTATGTCATAAATGAAATAATCTGCGAGCAGAACTCGTAGTTATTCATAAATATTAAAGGATTATTTACTTAAAACAAGCTCTTTTATCTTGTAAGTTAGTTTTGTCTTATTTTAAGTGAAATAAAAAATTTTTTGCGTTAAAAACTAGACATAAATTCTTGGTAATATTTTGTGTTTTTGCAGTGTGAACAGCTTTCACACGCGTTCAGGCCCTCTCACCTCTGTAGAAGCAGTCTCCCATCCGTTGAGGTCCCACCGTCAGACCCGGGAACATCTCCACATTCAGCATTCTCCTTGTCCTTTTTTCTCACCTGTCCTCCTCATTTACTGCAAATAAACTCACTTCTTCACTTTTCTTTTCCTCTAAAAGAAGTTTCAGAGTTGTTAATTTTGCTTCTCGCTCGTCGTCAGTCTGCGTTTCTGTCCCTGGTCTTCGCTGTAAGAGCCTTCAGCCCCGGCCGGTTCGGTTAAATAGGTGTGTCGGACTTCACACCTTTGACCAAATGGTCCTATTTTCACTTGACTCCTCATTTCTCCTCCCTGTCCTCTAAACTTTATTTCTGCATCTGCTTGGCAAACGTAAACATTAATGGTCGTCATGGATTTAACTGGAAAAATCAGAGCTTTTTTGCGTATTTGTAAGTAAGTCAAACACAAGTGATATTACCAAGTATTTTTGTCGAGTTCCCAGTGCAAATATTTTAGTTCACTTGAAATAAGACAAAACTAACTAAAGTAAAATTTTAAGCTATAAATTGGAGTTTGTTTTGCGTTAAAATTTAGTGAATTATTGATTGAAAAGTTATTTACTTCACTTATTTGTACTTTTTCATCAATATTAAGGAATTATAGTCTTAGTTCCTGTAACTTGCTGATAAGTTACTTTTTAGTTCATTTTGTAATATTTCAAGTATACTAACATATTTGCATTAGAAACAAATCAAAAATACTTGGTAAGATTTTCTGTTTTTGCAGTGTAGTCGGGTCATGTCTGCAGTTTAAAAAAGATTTTTAAAAAAACTTACTTTAAATCTGAGTTTGAGACATTACGTCTGTTAATTTAAGATTGGAGAAATGCTTGAATTCAGAAACTAAAATATCTACAATATCCAAGATAGATTTCAGTCCAGAGTTTGACTAGGCCACTTTAAGGCTTCCTCTACTCCTCTGGTCTGTAGTCCTGCTGCTGAGTCAAAGCAACAGAGGAAAATTAAAGATTTAATCGCTGAGAGCAAAGTAGCCTCAAATCAGGTGATTTTTATTGTTAAATTATGACCTCTGACCTTAACTGGAGCAGTTTTTTGACCTTTGTGGTGAATCATCAATAAGCTTTTGGAATAATTTTGATGGATTTCGTTCTCTGGCGTCCCTTCAAAGACTGATTGATGCCAGTGTTTTTGTTTTTCTGCTTTAGATTTTGTTTTTCAGATCTTTCAGCCATAAAGGATATTAAAGATAATTATTATTTCTGCAGCTTTGCTAACAACCAGAACTTGGTTTGAACTGAAATTTTAGTGATATTGTCCATAATATCAGTAATAACTAGATTGGTTTACTAATTTAAATTTACTGAAGGAACTTTTTATAAAAATTTACTTTTAGGAGTACTTTTACTGTACTTTTTACTTTTACTTGAGGGATTTTATTATGAACATTTTCTTTTATGTGATTTTTTTTCTTTCTGTTATTTATATAAATTATTGTCATTTTTATCATAAAAATATAACAATTTTCATTTCATTTTATATTTCAATCCATCTGACGATGTAATTTTAAATATTAAATGATTGTTAATTTTATAATTTACTTTTATCAAATACTTTTTTGAGTAATTTTTTGGACAGATGCAAATATCTGTCCATTTTTTGCAAATGCAAATATCTTAGTTCATTCAAATTAAGACAAAACTAACTTATAAATAACTTCTGAGCAAGATATAGGAGCTTATTTTAAGGCAGTAATTCCTTCATACTGATTTTTTTTTAAACTAATTCCACTGGCAAATTATTCCACATATAATAAGACATTTTTTTCCATGTTATAAATAGAATAATCTGCCAATATTAAGGAATTGGTGACTTAAAATAAGCTCCTATATCTTACTTGGAATGTCGGTTTTAATTAATCAAAATGTCAGATTGGCTAAAATGAAACACAAGGCATTTGCTTAGCAGATATTTTACCTTATTTGAGGATCTTCAATAGACACTAAATCACACAAACTAATTTACAGTTTTGTTTTGTAGTTCTGTGTTGCACCTGAAGCAGCTGCTGTTTTATTCCAGATTATCCAGATTATGTGAAGCATTTCTCCAGGCAGGTGAGTCTGGTTGCAGTAATGGCGGCCGCCCCCTGCAGCTGCTTGATGACACGTTTCTTCCTCCCTGTTAAACTCCCTGCAGGGGGTCCGGCTCTGGATGCAGTTTGGCTCACAGCTGCAGTTTGGTCTCTAGATAAACATGAGTGTCTGCAGGTTTTTATACACGTCTGAGTTCAGGTGCATCTCCTGGATCCGGAGATCAAGACGTTATTTACATCGACCGGTTTCTGAATTATTTGGTTTTTTATGTCAAACCTGCTCAGTGTTATCTAATGCTGCTGATGTCATTTTTTTAAACTAATTTTGAGTTTTTGTTTTTAATTTCATCTCAGAATTTCATCACTCAAGAAGAAAACTCACCAAAATCTCAAAGCTTAATTTTGATTTTCATCCAGATTGAGCTGTAAAACCAGCTTCCTGTCTGTCACTGTGTGGGGCGATAATTATGTTTATTAATTACTAACAGCTGTTTCTGCCTAACGGGTAGAGCAACTTTTTGTCATTATAGCAACTTTTATTTTTTTTTCATCTTTAAGTGCTTTTTATGGTTCATATTTCACTTTCCTGCTAATGATATGACTACCTCTTAATAATTAAAATTCTTGTAATTTCTTTAGAAAAATAAGGAAGCAAGCAAAAAAATCTGAAATTTGATGTAATGTAAAAAAAATTATAATTTTACTTCTAAGCCGTATTAAAAGGAAGAGGATTTGGGCCACTGGAAAAATTTTTTTAATTTTTCTCTCATAATTCTGACTTTTGTCTCAGAATTTTTTTTTCCTCAGAATGAGTTCTGTTTTTTTTTGTTTTTTTTCTTAGTCCTTGCAATTTTATCTCTCATAATATCAGACATTTTTTGGAATTTGTCATTTTCTCTATTGGAATTATGACTTTTTTCTTGAATTTGCATTTTTTTCTCAATGTTCTGATTTTCTTTTCTCTCAAAGTTTCACTTTAATCTTCTGAAATCAAATTTCAGTGTTCTGAGGAAAAAAATTTTTGTATTTTTTCAGTACGGCTTAAAAGTTAAGTCCCATTTTTATACAGAACACCCAGTAACCAATTTTAATCATTTTTTTGTTCCTACTCCTCTCCTAATATTTCAGCAGCTTCTCCAGGCGTTGATGTTCAGACAGAACGCTGTTTCCTGGTTAGCAGGGGAAAGCAAACCAACAGGCCTCCTGCCAAGTCGCTTCCAGCCTCTGCTGCCGACATAAAACAGCGACAGCTGGAGTCGGTTTACACCAGCCAGCTCTACGTGTTGTTCTAGTTGCTGTTTTCCTTTGCCATTTGTGCTTGTCGTCGGGGATGAAAGCGAGCGCGGCTCGAGGGGAAGCGGAGGTGCGAACGTCAAGCCGAGGTCGAGGTCGTTCCACCTTGATGGGAGCGGCGAGGCGTTCGATGGCTCTTAATGTTTTTACGGACAGACAGGTGAAGCCGCTGATGAGGACTGTTAGTTTTGTTTGGGGGCAGCTGCAAACATCAGGATTAAGAGCCCAACACTTTTAACATGGATGTGTTAAATGGCTTGATGTCCACCTATGTTTGCTCTGAGGGGTTTAAAGGTCATTCTTTGAGGAATTTATGACGCATCCCAATCCGCTGTTTGTCGTTATTTGGTTCTAAATCCTCTGAGTCGAGCGCCGATTGAACCCTTCATGCAGAAATTACATTTCTGATTCCCTACTTTGCCACTGAACAAGCTTTTTAATCTGACCGGGATTACTTTTGGTCCTGTGCTCTATGTAATTACTTCCTTTTAGAGGAAATTTGTCAATCCAAGCTTTCACCTTCTAACCCCCCACACACTGTAAAAACACAAAATCTTACCAAGTATGTTTGGTCTAGTTTTCTAGTGCAGATATTCTATTACACTTAGAATAAGACAAAGATAATAAGTAACTTTTCAGCAAGATACTTTGTTTAAAATAAATTATTCCTGAATATTGATTTAAAAAAATACTGATTTTATTGGCAGATTATTTACACTTCACTCATAAAAAAAAAGTGTTATTATAAGTTTAAAAAATCTGAGAAGAATATTGAAGAAAGAAATTATTTGCTTTAGAAAGTCAACAAAACTACTTGGTAGGATTTAGTGTTTTTGCAGTGCATGAAGGCTGAAACCCCTCGGTGTTGGGATTATGTTTCCCTGTGTGTCAACCAGAAATAGATCCCCTCCTCACTCCATGCATTTAAATTACAAATTAAATCCTTTATCTTCAGCTCTCACTTGCAAGATGATGTTTTTTTTCTAACATGCATAAGCACTACTATAATCAAGATAATGTACTTTCCATCACAGCCTGTTTTTACAAAAAAAAAGCAGCCATTTTAAGTTCAGTTGACAACTTTTGTGTGTTTTATGATTCATTTATAACTCAGAGTCCTTCAGACGACCTCCAGCGGGTCTCTGTCAGCCTTGGACAGGACCACCGTCACGGCGTCGGGCAGCCGCACGGCGAGCCGCTCCCTGAACACGGCCAGGAAGCCGCGCTCGCTGTTGCTGTGGTCGCTCAGGATGACGCTGGTTCCCTTCGCCACTGCATCCAACACCTCATGGTGGGACATCTCACCTGGAAGATCAGGTTTCACTACTTATCGAGCAAACTTAGCTTAACAAAGGGAATCAACTGGTAAGGATGTGGAAAAAGTGTTAAAGGTGACCCAGTAGAGTTTCTTGAACAGGTTAGGATCAGTCTGTGGGCTAAACATGACATGTTCTTTATGTTTTTTGCACAAAATCATTATTACATCATGAGATTTTAATCTGGTCAGTTCTGCCAACTGAAGTCACTTTAAATCCAAATAATCTGCTGCTGGCCACGCCCCCCAACTTAACGCTTGCACTTCCCACGTGAAAATGGCTGCAAACAGTTGCGCAGTTTTACAACCGCACATCTTTGAAAAGCAGAAGTGGAGCCTCCTGCACAACTCAAAAGAAAGCAGCAAGTGGTTTCTGGTTGGTAAGTCGGCAACAAAACACTTATCTTTTCCAGCAGCCATTGTACAGCGCATGCCAAGGTAAAACCAAGTCAGTTTGGGTTGCTAGGTAACAAGATTTGGCTCTGCTGGGGTTGCTAGGTAACGGTGCCTGTCGAATGTGGCTTAATGCTGACACAGCTTGTTTTCCAGTTACTAAAAAGCTGGAAAACAAGCTTGCTTGTCGCCAAAAAAAACCTTGCTGAGTGTCTTTTGGGTTGTTTTAGAGGCAATAGGAACCCAAATGGAAAAACAGAAATAGCAAAATGGGTGGTTGCTACTTCAGACTCTAACCCATAACAGGAATTTTTTTTTTTTTTTGGTACACCCTTGTGTTAAATGAGTTTCATTTACATTCTTAGTTTATTTCCATCTTGTTCCTGTTTGTGTTGTATTGTCACCTGATGAAAAAGATGGGAAAATATGTACAAACTGGATTAATAACAGTTATTAATATTGGTCCAAATTTGTTAATTATTATGTCCCATTAACCATATAATTACAGAAATTGGAATTAGAAAAATAATCATTTTTTTTTCCAACAGTAGCAGAATATTAAAAGATTTGTGGACGTTTGTAATGACAAAGCAGCTTCAGTTTGTGGTTTCAAGATGAACTTTTCTCTACATCTCTCCTTGTTTGTCACAGTTTAAACATTTTATATACAGAAAGATCATTTTAAAGCTAGTTTTTTTTTCCACATCTGTACCAGAAGTTGCAGTAAATGTTGCCGTCTTGTTTCGGTTTGTTCAACTGTTTCCAGATTTACCTGTGATGAAGAGGTCGGCCTGGACGCCGCTCAGCACTGAGGCTCCGGAGCCGGCGCAAACCGCCGCAGTGCAGACCGAGGACTCTGAAATGAGCCACAACAATGACCCATTATTATTAATATTACTGTCTAAAAACGACTGATTTGTTAAAAATATGTTCTTCACAGAAGGTGAGTGCAAAACACAACATTCATGGCACGACAACATAAAAGCTGCATTTGAAAAACTACTTGACACAAGAATCTTCAGAACGCTACTTCATTTAAAAAGTGATTTATTTCACTAAACTACATGTAGAGACTAAATTTAATCATATTTGTTAATTTACTGATATAAACAGGGAAGAAAACAGTGAAAACATTTTAGTAAGTTTAACATTAACTGAAATTTATTGTAAGAAATTTGTCATAATTGATAAACGATACAATAAATGCCCACCAAAACCAAAAATCCAAAAAATTTTTAAAAATGGAGCAGCTAAACAGCTTTTATTTTATTTCCTTTCAAGTATAAATAAATATAAAATAATGGATTTTACATAGATTTCTAAAAGCAATAAATTAAATACTTTAATTTTCAGATTAATATTTTAAATTCATTTATTTCAGAGCGTTTTTCTTTGACGGTGAAAAATCCAGATGATGCTTTCTGTGCAGTAAAACTATATCTTTAACTCAACTAATAAAGATTTAAATGTTAGAAAATATGCTGATTAGTGACGTGTTTGTGTCCAGTTTTGCTCACCTTGTGTCCTGCCTGCTCCCAGAGCCAAACGGAGATTAGCTAATCCCAAATGGGACTTCATCTTCTGGATAGCTGTTGCCACTGTGACAGGCTGGTCCAAAACGCTGAGCCGTCCTTGGCCGTGGCCCGGCAGCGGAGCCTGCAGGCGACATCATAACTTTACTTCACTGCTGTAGAAAAATGTATTAAAATCCATAGTTTAATCTATAATTAAATAGTTGGGGTTAAAACAATCTAATTAATTGCGATTAATTTATTGTTGAAATAATCTTAAAACTGAATTTTACAGACTCAAAGTTAATTTGCTGAAAGAACAACACATTCAGAGCAGTAATTAAAGCGATTTTTGTACAAAAATATATATTTTTTTGCATTTAAGGTAAAAAATAAAGAAATTTGTCTGTAAATATGTTTTACCCAGAACTCCTCAAGTCACTTGATTCAATTTAATTTTTAAATCTCCTTTTGCTGTCCAACTATTAATCAGTTAATTTAAAAAATAACCAAATGATGAGCTCTACTCTGTATTCATAAGTCAACCAGAAATTAGTTCTGCAGCTAAATAATCTTTAGCTGCAGAACTAATAATTATGTGAAACTATAAAATTATACCTTCTCCAACTTGAGGATGCTGAGGGACTGGCAGGGAGCACTGTGCTTTAACAGTATCTGGACACTAGGGGTCAGTGCTGAGGCACTGCAGGTTAAGCTGACATGGATGCCGCTGCTGTCTGGTCTGTGGTGAAGCAAGAAACGTCTTTTATTTTCAATGCAATGACCTAAAATTTATAGTTTCTTTTGGTTTTAATTTGGTTTTTTGCAGCTTTGTTGGAACAAAATAACCAAATCCCCACAAAGTGAGTGATTTGTATCCAGTAGACTTAATCAAAGAGCTGACTTTTTAAATCTTGCGTCATGTAAAGCATGTAAACTGCAAATTCTTACCCACATATTACAGGATAGGTGTTTAATATTGACACTACCTGGTGCCTGAACACTGCAGTGCTGTTCCATCATCACTAGCCTTCAGCTCCTCCACAACAGCGTTCAGCTCCTCTGGACTCCTCACCATGAATTCCAGTTTGTGACTGTGGGAGTCGCCGCCGAGGGCCTGACTGAGCACAGACACCTGACCGCTGCCTGACAGACAAAGATGAGGGGGAAAAAAACCCAGCTTCAACGTATTTTCCTGGGATTTTCTTTGGTGTAGAACAGCAGCAACAAATGATGGAATTAACTGCAAAAACATGGATAATGCAAACAAATATAGATAAATGATACGGTCATCGAATGTCATAATATTTATAATGGTAATATTGGGTGCTCCAGACTCCCCCTAGTGGTCTGGAGCAGGTTTGCAGCATTTTACACTTCCTGCGTTTCCCGTTTGCGTAATTTTTTCCTGTGGTTGTCCGTTTTGTCTGCCTTCGCAGCAAATTTTTTGTGGTTGCATCAATTTTTTTCTTCTATTGTTGCAGAAATTTGGTTGCCATTGCAACCACTTAGTGGTTGCAGCAATTTTTCTGTGATAGCATTTTTTCCTGTGGCTGCAACAATTTGACTGATTTCAGCACTTTGTCTGCAGTTGCATCAATTTTGTCTGTCTGAATCTGATTCCTATCACAGTTTTTGTTGCTTGTCAGCTTTTACTTCCATTTTCTATGATTACAGCATTTCCCACTTGCAGCCTAGTCAAAGTCCAAACCTCAAGTGATATAAGAATATTGATATTTATTGATGCTGTCAAATAGTTTCTTTTAAAAAAAATTTTTTTTAATTACTCTTTTGTAAAAATCAACATATAATTTTACTTCACAACTCACAAAAACAAAACGAAGAAGCTTTGTGTCGTCTCACCCAGACCGCCAACCAGCCAGTCGTTCACCCCTCCCTTCATGCTGTCCCAGGATGTATGCGGAGAGAAGACCGCCATCCCGGCCTCAACGGCCCGGATGGCCAACCGCTGCTTCCAGTCTTTCTGAACCAGCCGCTTGATTGGCCGAAACAACGGCGGGTGATACGAGACGATGAGGTCACAGGTTAGGGCCTCCGCCTCGTCCATGACGCCGTCCGTCAGGTCGTTGGTCAGCAGGACGGTTTTGATTGGCCGAGGTTTGCTGGGCTCCACCAGCAGGCCGACGTTATCCCACGATTCAGCCAGAGACAGAGGAGCAAGCTGCTCCAGAACCTGCAGAACCTCCTTAAGCTCCATTGGGCTGGCAGAGACCGAGAGGCGGCGGGCGGAAGGAGAATGAACCGAGGAACGCAGAAGAAGACCTGAGGTCAGTCTGGTCTGAGTGGCGGATGAAGCTGAGGGAAAAAGAGCTGTAGTGTTAAAGTTTGAACGTTTACAGATTAAAAGTCTTCTGCTTTTCAGAAAGGAAAAAGTCCAAGAGAGATTTCTCCATCCTGGCAGCATCAGTGGAGATCTGTCAGGACAAAAAGAAAAGAAACACAAAACAGTTGTTATTTTAATAACACACAGTTCCAACAAGTCTGAACTGGAAGTGATCTGCGCAATCTTAGTAAGCAAACGCAACGCAATAAATAGCAGACTCATGGCTTGGAGACTAACAAAAAGAAAATATATGGACACAAATGTGCCAGAGAAAAATGCATGAACAAAATGGCTGCTGTCAAGATCGACTCCAATGAGAAGGAGAAGGAAAATATGTCACATGCGGATAAGCCGCCTCCAATCTCACCACAATATAGTGCAATTATGTATATATAAAAATTTTTAAAAATTTATATTTATTGCAATGTTTGGTTTATTTTACCTACAAAAACAAAACAAAAAAACATTTTAAAGAAAATAAATTCTGATTGTTTTGATTATAGGATGTGATTTACAAATCTTATCGCTGTACAAATGTGTTTGGTTGAAACCTTGTGGATTTGGGTCACTTTTAGCAAAGTTTAACAAATGGGTGTCTTCAAACCTGCTTTTGAGTAAAAGCTGCTAAATTATTGGGGTCACCTTTATTATTAAGTCAAATCAAAAAAGTGTGGTTAAATAAAGAAAAATAATGTGGGCTGTATCTAAAATTCTCACATTTATAAAGATTTTGTCTGAAAAATATTACCCTGATTTTTAATATATTTTTAAACCTACCTGCATCAACCTTTCAGCCAAATTGATTGTGGGGCCACAAAAAGTAACTCCAAGGGCCGCAAATGGCCCTCGGACCGTACTTTTACCACTCTGCTGTAAGTTTCACTTTTTTAAATTGAGTCACAAAGATGCAACATTTTAAAACGGCATTTACATTCAGCTAGTTTTATTCCACGCTTTCGGCATTACAACTTGTGGGTATTCCAGGGCGCGGAAGTTTAGTTTAATATTAGCATTAGCTGCTCTGACTGCTCATAGACAAGACGGTAGCAGCGGAGCTAAATGTAGCAGCGGAGCTAATGTTAGCATTTCCTTGGCAATTAACGGTGAGAGTCAAACTCTGCACATCGTCAAACAAACGCGAGCATAAATGGACTCACCTTACCCGGGTCTGCGTTTTAAACAAATCACGACTTCAGGAGCTACGTTGCTAAAATGATCTTAGTCGGAAAAGTGAAACAGAGCAGCACACTTTTAGTAGAAATCTCAAAATGTCCTTCCTCGGCTTCCGTTCAACATACCACGGTGCAAGTTGTGGTTGTAGTTTTTTTGTTCCCTATTTATAGATGGAACAGATTATAATTTCAGGGTTTTAATATACGGTGAAATAAAGAATGGCAAATCTTTATAAAGCAATTCATAACTTGTTTTGCATTTTAATTTTAAATGACTAAAGAAAATGAACTAGTTTTATTCCACGCTTTCGGAAAAAATAAATACATAATTCCAGCTGAGCCCAAAAGTATTTAATTGATTAATTCATTTCTAATCAATCAAACAGATCCAAATCAAGCAACATCAGTTAATAGTCAGACTTAAGAAGATACTAAACATATAAGATTACAATTTTTTTCACATACAATATTTTTATTATAAATATATAACATTTTTATTATAAATATATAAGAAAAATATTGTGTGATAAAATATTATGTTACTTAAGTACAATCTTATGTTTTTAAAGTAAGAAAATGATTAGCAGAGTAAATGTTTTTGAAATTAAAAGGAAGTTCTTTTTACTGAAATCTTTTAGAAATTACTTACTGCTTTGGTTTTAGAGTAATTAAATTCTAAAAATAAAAGGATCTTAAATTATTTAACCAACTTCTTCTATCATTAAAACAAAGAGGTTTATCTGGCTAGTGGAGGAAATTTAATCAACATTCTTTAGCCTTGGTATTACACAATACAGGTTATTTACAAGATTATGAAACAAACCTCCACATTAAACTAAACATAAAAAGACAAGATGAGCCATGCTGAGGTGAATCTGCATGGCTCAGCTTCATATACACAGAAGAAGGATTACCAGTTTGGCAATAAAGCAAATGAAAAATGGCTGCAGATGAAGATTGCTGAAGGGTTAAACCTGCAGCTCTGACACGAAAGCAGGCTTCTGGGCAGACTGGCTTCCTCGGGATTGAGAGTGACCAAGAGGGAGATTAGTCTGGATTAAAGTAAAAAAAAAAAAAAAAAGGGTTGATGCTCGATGTTAGGATGAGGGAAGGATCAGATAAACGGCACGGTACCCATCATTACATCATCTAATTCTTAACATAAACGAAATGTGCATAAACGCAGCAATAAAAATGATCCAAAAAAAAAACATGAGTTTTAAAATATCCCAATAAGAGTTTTTGTTTTGTTAATAATATCACTGTCTGTGTTCAGTCTGTTTAGTGGGACTCACAGATGTGTTTTAGTTTTACCTTCGGCCTGTTCACTGAGAAAATTGCTTTATTCCGGTTAATTGGCACTATAAGCCTCCTGCGCCCCATCTGTCCGTCGGTTTCAGGCTCAGCACAGTTCGTCGCTCTGCTTTAACATCTGTCCACATGTCTGCCGAGTCCGCATGGGAGCGTACAGAGCGTCCCTGTCCACTTTCCAAATTTCCAACTAGGCATTTAATCTCCACTGGAAAGGATTTGGAGCTTTCTGACAAAGTATTAGAAGATAAAGCTCTAGAAACCTCTGAACCTAGGTCAGCGTTGGCAGTAAAGACTCTGTGTTTATGCAGTGATATACCAGGAAAAATAGCATAATTAGATTATGGAGCTTTTATTTCATTGTATTTTTTTATCTTTTTTTGGTTTTTATTTTAAGCATTTCGCCCCAAAGGACTTAATTCTCTTATGCAAGAGGTATGATATGTCATTTTTTACATTTTGTGCAGTACGTTTATGTTTGTAAAAAAACATGGCTTTTGTTTTTTTACAAATTCCTTAATTTGGGGAAAATTCATAAAATGATATCCCCAATATGTAGGGCCGGTCCAAGCCTTTTTGGGGCCCCAATCAGATTTTTATTTGGGGCACCCCATTATCAACATGTCAACAACAGACACTTTATTATCCCAAATCTATGTGTAATATACCTTCAGCTTTGTTTGTAACTATCTTACATCATCCCGGTGTTGTTATGGCTTTTTATTTTAACCTCAGAAGAGAATTGAACAAATAAAAGGATTTTAAAATGCAGAGTGGTAGTTAAGTGTCAGATTATTTTAATTATTTGAAAGCAACATTAGATGATAAACATTTATTTATAGTAAATCAGTTAGCAAGTCTGATATCTTAGATAAGCTTAATTTATATTAAAATTTAATTCAAATCTGATATTCTGGGTTTGAGACATAGCTTATGTTTCTGTTTAGTTTAGTTTATCATTATGCAGGGCTGGTCCAACTCTTTTGGGTCCTAAGCAGATTTTAATTTGGGCCCACCCCCATTACCAACATAACAACAGATGCTTTGTCTATGTGTGAAACGTACTTTCTATAATTAGCTTTGTTTGTAGTTAGCTTACATCATAATAGTTTTGTTATGGCTTTTGACTTAAACTTTACAGGAGTGAAAAACAAAAACAGGTTTTCATTGCAGCCCAAAATGTTAACAGATGCTTTATCATTCCAAATGTACCTTTAGCATTGTTTATAGTTAGCTCGCATTATGCTAGTGTTGTCATGGCTTTTGATTTTAACTTTACAGACCAAGCAGCTGGTCTGTAAATGTTGGTGTTTTACTATATTTATCCATTGTACAGAGCCCCATGTTGTGGTTTAAGACAGTAATAATTACATAACAAGGCAGTTTTTAATTAGTAATGCCTTTATTTCCAAAACAATCTATTTCATCAAACCAATCTGAAATAACTTACACTTTGCATACAAAACAATATATTTTCTGCTGTTCAATTCAATACATTCATTAAATTGTCAATGTTAGTTTGCATAGAATCCTTAATGATAAAAAGTTGATGCGGTTTTATTTGCAGTGCTGAAGTAACTGGACTGCTGAAGGTTCAGCTTCAGAGAAAGACGCCACCTGTGCAGGATCATCGGAAAAGGTGCGATAAAAATCTTGTTGCATTCTCATTGGCCGGACATCATTCTGACAAACTCTACAAGAAAAGAGCAAAAAGAGGTTGAATTATTTTACATGTAAAGCTCTGCATGGATCACATGTTTATGTACCTTCAAAATCTACTGTCCCGTCTCCGTTATCATCCGCCTCTTTCACTATGGCGTCGATCTCTCTGCGGTTCATGTGCTCTCCCATCAGCTTGTTCATCGCCGCCCGCAGCTCCTCCGTCGTGATCTCTCCGTCTCCATCCATGTCGAACTAACCGAGCGGAAAAGAGGAACAAAAAGAAGAAGCTCAGAGAGTTGTTCAGAATAACTCCTGGTAATTTCTCCAGAGGAGGATTAGGAACACTGAAAAAAATGACTTTTAGAGAAAGTCACAGTTCTGAGATTAAAGTTAAAGTTTAGACAAGAAAATAATATCAATGATATCAAAGTTCCAAGAGATTAAGATCAAACGTCTGACAAAATATATCAGAATTTGGAGGGAAAAAATGTCATAATTTTGAGGTCAAAATCAGAATTCCAAGAAACAGTCAAAATTCTGGAACTAAAATCAGAATTTTGAGAAAAAAGTCAGAATTATGAGATTATAGTCTGAATTTTGAGGTTCTGTGGGGGGTAACAGAGAGTGGGGATGTCAGAATTTTGAAATCAAAATCAGAATTCTCAGATTACAGTATGAACTATCAGATTAGAGACAGAATTCTGGGGAAATATGACAGAAATTTGAGACTAAAGTCAGAATTCTTTCCTTTTTTTCAGTGTCCCTAACTCTCCGGGGTTAATCTGCCGGTTTCACCTCTTTGAAAGCGTCTTTGAGCTCCTTCACGCCGATCATCCCGGCCGTCTCTGCCAGGAGCTTCGGAGCCATCAGTTCTACAAAGTCCTCAAAGTCGACTCTGCCGCCAACTGCAGAGGAAACGGGTTCTGTTTGTCAGCAAATACTTCTTCAGTCTTGTGCATCTCGTCACACACTCCTTAGCTTTACGCTGAGATTTAGAGGGAACTCCAATGCTGCCACATTGGGCTGCTTTTGGTCGTTAAAATCTGGGCTGATTCTTACGATATTTAACAGATTTTTAGAAAGTTTTCAGGGGAAAATCTTTTGAAAATAATTGTCATTGAGTAGCAGAAAACACAGAAACATTCATGAAAGACTGTCATAAAAGTCCCAAATGGATCTGAATCTAATCAGAATATAATAGAGGACAAACAAAAAAGTCTATAATCGCATTCAGGGTCTTGTATATAACTACATATACAGAGTACATATACAAGTTACATTTACTTGAGTAACTTTTTTGAAAAAGGAGAACTTTCACTATGCTGCAGAAATTACTTGAGAAATTTCATTATGAAGTATATCTACTCTTGGGTAAAAATTCTGGATTCTTTAACTTCATTGAATTAATAACAGAAAATAAATGTAACCAAAAGTTCACCAGACGCACACCTGCAGTTTTTGCTGAAGTTTTATAAGTTTGTTATTGAAAGAAGCTAATTTGGAAAAAAAAATTATTTTGCCTAAGTGTGTCATCTTTTGTTACTTATCAGAATTATTGTCATTTTAATTCTGAAAATACCCAAATTTCCAATGACCTTTAGAATTTGGTCCATCTGATGATGTCATTTTTAAATATTAAATGATGGATAATTTGATTGGTTACTCAGTACTTTAGTAAACTTTTTACCAAATACCTTTGCACTCAATTAATTTCTTGGAAGGCTACTTTTTACTTTTACTACAGTAAAAACTTGTTGAAGTAGTGCTACTCTTACTTAAATACTATTTCCTCTGAATATACATAAAAACTCCACTCTGGTTAACAATCCATGTTATATTTATGCAGTGGAAAGAGGAGGATTAGGGCCAATGAAAAAAAGAGAAAATTCTGAATTTAATCTCAGAATTCTGATATAAAAGTCTAAATTATTTCTCTCTGAGTGGCTCTAATCCTCCCCAGCACAATAGATGTTGAGATTTCAGCTGATTTTTGGAGCGGGGCATGTCTTGCGTTGTGTTTGTGCTGCAGCCCTGTGGGACTCACGGTTCATGTTGATGTTCTGGCTGAGTTCGATCAGCTCCATCTCGGTGGGCATGTAGCCCATCGTCCTCATCAGGTTCCCCAGGTCTTTGCAGCTGATCAGCCCATCTTTGTCTTTGTCGAACTCGTTGAATGCGTCTCGCAGCTCTACAAAAATTAATACACAAAAAGAAGCAAATATGAGAACTGCAACACGATTTTTTTTCTATTTATGCAGCCAGGCATCAAATAATTTGTTTTGTATACCTAAAAAACTGACTTGACTGTAAAGGAAGAAGCAGAAGGTTTATATTTATACATCAAATTAATCTAAATTACCCCTCAATAAATACAACATATAAAAACCCCAAAACAAATCCCTTCTTATATTTAAATCCCTAAACAGAAACGTAAAGGAAAGAAAACAACACAAAACCAAAACAAAAAAGGTAAACCCTTTTTGTTTACCTTGTGTTGTAAATTTACAAACATGTCATGAATAATATGTAAATACATATAATTTAAGTAAATGTGTTGAGATTTCAGTTTCCCAATTCTGCCTGTTTTGAGCTGCTTTAGGGCGTCTTGTCACTTTAAATCAAAATAAGTTGCTTCTGGCCATGCCAAGGTTTACACTCACACATAAAAATGGCTGTAAACTGATGCTCAAATATGCAACTATACATATTTGAAAAGCAGAAGTGGAGACTCCTGCACAACCAACTAAAATGCAGCCAGTGGTTTTTGGATGGAGCTCTGCTGGAATTGCTCGGTAACTGAGTTGGGCTTGGCTAGTGTTGGAATGGGACTTCACAGGCGAGAGGTTTTTGAAACGGTTCATTTTCCAGACACCAAAAACAGAAACTTGTTACCAAAAACAGCTGAGACCCAAATGAAAACATAAAAATGAGCTTAATAAAACACTTTAATTTGAGATTAGCAGAACCAGAGATTGGGATGAAAGTATTTGGTCTAGAACAAGCTTTTTTTTTTAAATCATTTGATGTTAATAATGTAACATTTACCAACATCTATGTTTTCTTTGACATTCCTAGAAATATCTGCTCTTAAAACAAGTTGTGAGAAAGCAGATGAGAGAAAAACTTTCAGCAGATAACAGGAAGGCTGAGTAAAGTACAGCATTTTACCAAATGAATTTGGTAAAAAGGGAACTTCAGATTTTAAAAATTACATCAATGTAAGTTTATGTGGAAAAATTGTTGGTGTTTTAATGACGAAAATGAAAATAATTTACATAACTCCAAAATAGCAAAAAGAAGCAAAATCAGCATTGAAAGATTTTTCAATCTAAAATGAAAAACACTTTAGCAAAAATTGAAGGTGTGTGTCTGATAAATTTCTGGTTAAAACAAATTAGTTTTTTATTTTAGTGAAGTTACTCACAGTTGGTACAGAATCCAGAAATGCTATTCCAGTAAGAGTACCGATACTTCATAGTAAAAGTTACTCAAGAAAAATACTTGGAAAAAGTCCAAGTAACTGAGTAAAGAAACTGAGTAAATGTGTCTAGTTACTGCGTATTCAACTCTGGAGATTGGCTGGAAAATTCAGACTGCGGCATTTCCACAAAAAAAATAAACAAGAGAAAAACATGAGGCGCATAAAGTGATGAACTTACCATCAATTTCATCCTCCGCCAGCTCTCTCGACTGCACAAAGAGAGAAACAAAATCTAAAATTGGATACTATATAAAGAAACTTCACATAACAAAAATTTATTTAGGAAACCCTGAAAATTTGCTGCTCAGAATTAAAAATAAATCAGTGCAGGAACCAGATTAATGTTGATGGATGTTCTGATGTTGTGGATTTACACATAGATTATGGCCTGAGTCGTCACTGGCATGCGGTTGCAGAAAGCAGATGCAGATTTTCTCTCTCCGTTTAATCCATCCAGACTGCAGCTGATGTTTGCAAACAATAATCGCCACCAGAAAGAAATATTCCTCCATACTTACGATGTTTTTGCCTCCTCGCAGGAAAATGCACGCTGCACCAAAGCTCATTTCTGTGACAGGGATTATGGAATAAAAAGAAAAATGTTAAAACTGATTAAAATACATCATGCACTGAAAAAACACAAAATACTACCAAGTATTTTTGGTCTAGTTTCAAGTGCAAATGTCTTAGTATTTGAAATAAAATAAAAACTAACTTGCAAGTCACTTTTAAGCAACATATAAGAGCTTCTTTACGTGAATAATTTTTGAATATTGTTTAAAAAAAGTAACAGTATCTATTTAAATTGTGTCAGATTTGTTCATCTATAATGTGGGAAAAATGTTTGTTTTAAAGAGTGAACTAGTACTTTTTTTAAAATCAATATTAAGAAATAATTTAGTGAAAACAAGCTCTTATTTTTTGGTTAAAAGTTACTTGTAAGTTAGTTTTGTCGTCTTTCAGCTATTCTAAGACATTTTCACTTTAAACCAGAGTAAAAATACTTGGTGAGATTGTTTTTTTTTTGCAGTGTAGAAAGTGTCTCACCTTCTGGTGATTTCTGCTCGTCAGTTAAATGCGTCCCACATGAAGCCTCGGCCTCGACTGACACCTGCAGAGCGGCGGGAGCCTTCTTCTGCTTCCCGCTCTTCCTCCTGGACTGTGAGCCGTCCCTCTTCAGCCAAGACAGCTTTGCCTCTTAGCGTGCAGCGACCCGACCCGGTGTGGCCCGCCTGCTCCTGATGATGATGATGATGATGCTAATGCTGATGGGAGTCTGTGTGAGCCGGAGTCTGTGAGCCACGGATGTTTGAATGTGAGGAGCAGTGGGAGGAGTCAGTCAGGTGGTGTGTCTGGAGGACGGCAGCAGCAAACATGATGCCCTGCTTTCCCTGCTTTCTCACTTTATTAACATTACTGTAGTCTGTGATGTGAGAAAATATGCAAAAACACAAAATCTGACCAAGTATTTTTGTCTAACTTTTAGTGCAAACATTTTAATACAGTAGAAACAAGACAAATCTAACTTAAAAGAAACTTTTTAACAAGATACAAGAACTTATTTCAAGTAAGTAATTCTCTCATATCTATTTTAAAGAAAGATCTAGTTCTCCTAGAACTGAACATATGTGAATTAAAATACTTTATTTTCTTCTTTGCAGATATTTATGGATTTTTATTGAATTAGTTCCTTTTTTTATAACATCCCGTTTTAATTAATCTAACGTCAAACCAAAAATACTCCAATAGATTACGACAGCTGTAAATCCATCATCAAACTAAACTACATAATTACCACAAACATGTTTCCCACTAGAGGGAAACAAACGCACCCAGTAGAACACTTTCTATTGGCTGAGAGGTATTATGTTGACTGTATAGATTTGTTATGCATTTGACTAAAGAAGCTTAAATGTCTAAAGCCTCAGACTTTTCATGCTCCAGCTGATATGTGTCACTATAAATCAACAAAAGCTTATGAGGCTCTTCCTCCTTTCACAGACAATAATAGAAACCAGATCTTGGATGTATTAAAGGGTCACAGGCCCTGACATCTTTTTCTTTTTTTTTTATCCTATTGCGCGGTAATCTGCTGCAGCGTTCATAAGGTTGACTGTTTTTATTCCCGACTCTTAACCCTGCAGGGTCAAAGGTCACGTCGTGGAGTGGAGACGTTCACACCCACCTGCCTGAGGTGAGTCAGACTCCAAGTCGTCTTCCATTGTCTGTCTGCTTCTTCTTCTTCTGTTATGTAAATCAGTCTGAAATCTGTTTGCATAAGAAGCTTAATGCGCTCCACCATGCGAACGGAGACTAATAACGGTTTATTATCTTCTTTTTTTTTGTGCAGTGGGCCAGTTGAGGAGGTTATGCAAGGCATAATCTGCAGCTGTGAAAGGATGTCTGTGGAACAGAGGGCTGGAGGTATGTAGGTGAGGAAACGTCTAGGTGGTAAAAGGTTTAATCTGGGCAGAGTTGAGAGTAACTAGTTACATTTACTCAATTAGTTACTTCAGTAACTTTTTTGAAAAAGGAGTATTTTTATTATCCTGTACATATTTCTGGATTTTCTACCCACTGAATAAAAAACAAACTCAATGCAGTAAGGAGCTACTCCAACATGCTGCCACCGAAAGCAGCGCAATTCAAGAAAAACATTAAATCTGCAGCAAAACAGTTCAATTTAAAAAAACAGTGTCTTTAGAGTCATGTGACATGTCTCAATTCAACATGCTAATTTCACATCCAAATAAATAGTTATTTTAAATAAGTGGTGATAAATCAGTTCTGCTCCATTCGCAACTCCCACAGAGCATACAGGTACTTGCTGTTGTTTTCATCACAGTCCAGAGCTTTCTCATAAAGCTCTGCAGCTTTGTTCTTGTCTCCTTCAGCTTTGGCCACTTGAGCCAAAACAGAATAAGCCAAGCAGTCATCCTCGTCTTCAGAAAGGCGACTATCTGCAATCTTCTTCAGCTTCTGCAGGAAAAGGTCAAGAAAATATCAACTCAATGTGCAGAAGCAAAGGAAAACTCAGAGATGAGCTTTAATTAAGAATGGTTAAACTCGTGCTAGGAAATCCTTCTGAAGGTGAATGGATATTTGGCTTTGGTCTTCTGAAAGTTAATTTTCTGGGTGCTCCTCTAAACAGACTGAATCTGGATGCGTTTCATCCAGTGGGTGGCGCCAGCTGCTACAATCGCTAGCAGCCACACAGGCACACCCACTAGAGGGAAACAAACACACCGGTACAACACTTTCTATTGGCTGAGAGGTTGCCAGGCAACTGTGCATTTTTGTTCCAGAAGCAAGCAGAAAATGTTTTGTAAGCAAACCGAGAGTCAGAGCAGAGACCAAGTCTGAGCAGAGACCAAGTCTGAGCAGAGACCAAGTCTGAGCGCGTTACAACTTTTCAGAACAAAAGAAATGAAATCCTGTTTCAGACTGAAAGTTTGTGCTCTTGGATTGAGGCAGAAAAATTCCCCCGTACTTTTAACTCTGCAATGGATCGTATTTTTCCAAACTTTACTTTGAAATGTGAAAATATCACTTGTGAGTTATGTGTTTTTGGAGGATTGATGCTTGAATATTGACTCTTAAAAAATGCAAACATAAAAATAAAATAAATAAGCAATGCTTAGCTTGATGGGACCCAAATAAAGCCTGGTGGCCCGCCAGGCTTATAATACACTGGATGGAAACCCTGTATTTGATCATCTGAAGGACTTTAGCTTGTCGGCTGGCCATGGAGAAGTAAGTTTAATGTATTTTTAAACTGAACTGCATCAGAAATCTTCATTAAAGAACTGCTACCTATCATCATACCCAGAGCAGAACGCACTGGGTTGATACATTCAGGTACAGGTCTATGTTAGCGTTAGCAATTACATGTTCTAACGCAGATCTACAGTGTTCTGGTTAACCTGAAGCGTCCCGGAAAGCTCATGTTCAGAACTTAGACCAAACTATTCTCTTCAAACTTTCCAGACATCTGATCTTGTTCAGAAGCTCTAATGGAAATTTACTGTCTGTGATGTTTGTAGCACCAGATGCTCACCTTAATACACTCCTTCCATTCCCATGTTTCTCGTGCCAGTTTTAGACCCTGAGGATTTACAAACCAGTCAGAGTTATAAAAGAGTTTGAAAGGATTCACAGGGAACTCAGACAGGAAGTGAAGAGGAGGGGTCAAAGATGAGCTGAGAGATTTTGATAGTGACGCTCCCCAGCATGTAATTTACGGTCAGCTTTGTACTTCAGGCAGAAGAAACCAACTAGAACAGTTCAGCTCAGAACTGACCTCTGTGTAGTGAGTAATTGCTTCATCCTGCTTCTTGGTCTGATAGAAATGAAATGCAGCGTATCGCTGGTGAATAAGCTGACGATTGTTTTTGTCAGATGAGTCCTTGAAGCAAAGCTGAAACATTTCCTCAGCCCTGACAGACAGAGAATAAAGAGATCCACACATCGGTAAAGACTGAGGAAGACTGAGGAACTCAAAGCATAAAGCTTTGAGTTTATCTCACCTGCTGAGGTTGTTCTCTTCTCCATACATTTGAGCCAGGTCTACCCGCGCGAACACAAAGGAAGGTTTAATCTCCACTGCCTTTTCCAGGTTATGAATGCACTGACGTCGTAACTGTTGCACTTCTGTTGCAGAGCAGAACATCAGGAATAGGCCATGAATTTAAAAAACACACTCACACACATCTTTACTTTGAAGTCATAAATACTTTGCTTATCGTAATGCTTTATCTTCTGCTCATTAATCTTCTTCCTTTTGTAGCACATGCCCAGCTGATGGTAGATGAATGCTGATGTGTTGCTCCTCTCCAGCGCTCGCTCCAGCAGCTCAATTGACTGTTCAATATTTCCCTGTAGTAGACGAGAGAGGTGGACTGTCTGAATGAGCTCCTTTTTTTTTCACACATCATGAAAACTTAAAGTATGTGCAGATGTTGTTTTGCTGCAAGGAGAGTTCACTTTGTTGGTAGAGGTTTATATGGACCAACTGCATGCATCATACGTCCTCTAGTTCATTTTCAGGGAGGAGGGTAGTGAATTAGAAATTGATTAATGTTAAAATACTTCCTTGCTATTAGTGAGCTATGAAAAACAACAATGCCTACATTCTTGAAAATGAATAACGTGCATATCCTCCTTTAAGGAGGGGAGATGTAATGTATGGTAAATATTTAGAAGTATGACCACCTTAAGAGCCTTGTGTGCAAGGCATTCTGGGTACTGTTGTTTGAAGAGCGGTCTGTCACACCAACCTGGGCACGGAAGTATTTGCTGATGTAGCGCATTGCATGAGGGTTATCTGGGGCAATTTCCATTGCCTTCTCCACAAGACTTTCAGCCTCTTCATATTTTTTCTCGACACCCAACTTCACAGCCAGCATGGACAGCAGAACCCCGTCATCCGGGCTGAGCTCCAGGGCTCGCCGAAGCTGTGTGATGGCAGTAGAGCCCATGGCTTTCTCAGATGCTTCTGGAGTATCCTACAAGCAGATCGGTTTGGGGGTTACCCTCGTATTCCAGATGGATAATAGAAGGAAAGCCCCGACCCCACTAGGGACAAGGGTGTTAGAAAATGGATGGATGGAATAAAATGAAAGATCCTCAAATGTAATTCCCATTTGATACAGCCAGCATTTTGGCTCGACCACTAACCCTGTCTGTTCGGAAGAGGGCAATGGCATAGCCGGCATTCCACTCACTGTCATCTTTCTGGACCTCCAGGGCCATTTGGAAGCACTTAATAGCTTTGAGGTAGTAAGACTTAGATAACTTGAGGTAGGTCCAGCCTTTCTCCCCATACACCTCCGGATGGAAAACCTCGGAGGAGCTGTTGGGATATTTTATCTGTGAAGACAGAGGAAGGAGTGAAAATTCACAGCAGCAACAACCAAGGATCTCATACAGTTTATGTACACACAACATATTTTACACATAACTTGAAATGTGCAACAATTATTGTTGTGTGAAAGTGTGCAGTCCTCCATGCAAACCTTTGACCTATTGTGACCATGTGTGGCAGCAGTGCAAACTTATTGAGTCGACAATAACAACCTACATACCACCAACAGAAATACATTGATTCCATCCAGTGTTATTTAATTCAGTAGCATCAAATGTGACATTTTAAAGCAATTTTTATCACATTTTGCAAAAAAAAATTACCCAGCTGAAGATCTATGTGCTCTCCCAGTCGAGTGCTCAGGTTTTCAAGTTCCATGTCTTCCTTCTTCAGATCCCAGGTAAAATGACTCTGCAGCTGCTGGAGCATGGAGAACAGGACGCTGCTGCTGCTGCTGCTGCTGCTGTCACTGTGAGCGCGTCAGAGGCAGAGTTAGTACAGATGGTGTTTCAGTACATCTGTACACAGACTGAACTTATTTACTGAGATTAGGTTTGTTCATTTCTACCAGAAGATATGTGTTTAAGGTGTAGCCTTAAAATGCGTCCACAAGTGTTCCTCCAAATAACTAAATGTCTCTGTAATCTATCAGAAGTTTGTCCAAAAAAGTTTAATACAAGTCCAAGTCCTGATACTGACCAAACTTTTGCATTTATAAAAGTTATCAAGAATGTCAAGGATAACAAAACGCAAAGAACTTTGAACAGTTTTTTCCACAAGTTACTGAGTGATCTGAGTAATACTGTTGGATGAAGGTAATGTTAGCTAAATATAACACTAATATATCACTTTAACAGACTACTGATGATATGTTCAAAAGTGGGTAGTACTGGTTACATTTTCAGGGTTAAAGGTAGTTTAAATGAGTCGTTTTGCTGTTCTGTACTTTTTTCCTTTTCTTGATTACTTATAACTCAAAAATTTATAACTGCATTTAAAGAAATAAACGTGAGAGACTGGAAACATTCGATTCTTAAGTTTAGCTCAAATGTTGATGCAAATTTGAACAACTCAACATTTTATACAGGTCACTGTTTACATCCTCATTGTTTATTTTGTTCTAATAAACGTGGTCATTTTTTGTGAAAGACTACAGAAAGGTTATAAATACTTATGCCTGATTCATTTTAGTCTAAATTAAATTACACCCTAGGAGACACACACACACACACACACACACCCACACACACGTACACACCTCATGATGATATGACTTCAGTCTCCAGGACAGACCTCCCACTCCTCTTCAGAAACCTGAATTATCTGAAATCAGATTTATGATGACGCTGAGGACCGTTTCACTGCCCGGATTAGAGATTGAACTGATGCTAAAGCTGGGGATCCTCACCTTCAATGTTCGCTTCGACAGAAATGAAAGTGAAAGTAAAGCTCTGGTGATGCCTTCACTGACTGCTCTGGAATCCAGAGGATTCCAGCTGCAGCACATTTTGAATATTTCCATGAGACAGAATCGTCTTTCTGTCCTTGTAATGTTATCTACAAGTATTTATTTTAGCTTCGGAGGATTTTTATGTCTTGCTGTATTTTTTTTATTAAGCCTTTGACTTTAACGTGGTGAGATGTTTGAGTTTACTTTTAATGCAATAGTAATTATCTGTCCTGACAAATCATTTGGTCCCACAAGCTAAATGGAACCAAATTGAACATGGCATTCAAATAGTATTTTCAAACTTTTCTGTTTTGTCGTTTCCTGTTTAAAGCCAAGGTTGTTAGCATAACAAAAGAAATCAAAACATATTGGCCTAAAACTGTCTTTATTTAAAGGAGCAAATTTATAAATAAAAAACCACAAAATATTAGACATTAATTTCCAATATGTCAGCTGCTTGAGTAAAAACGTGTAAGTAGTGCCTCTCTGAGTACAATTTTGGCACGTGACTTAGCTATCCATGCTGTAGATAGAGGAGGATTAGGGCCACTAACTTGAATAAAATGTCTGTATTTTCTACCCACTGAATGAAAAACAAACACGTTTTAACCAAATAATTCACCAGACAGACACACACCTGCAGTTTTTGTTAAAAGTTTCATAAGTTTGTTATTGAAAGGAGCTGCTTTGGAAAAGTGTTCCTTTGCCTGATTTTTCTATTTTTTTGTTACTTATATAAATTATTGTCATTTTTGTCTTTAAAACACACTTAACTTTATAATTTGGTCTGTTTATGTAATTTTTGAAGATTAAATGATTGATAATTTGATCAGTTACTTTGTACTTGAGTGGACTTTTTCTTGGACAACTACTTTTTAGTTCAGTAAAAATATGATGAAGTAGTGCTACTTATACTTGAGTACAATTTACCTGTGAGTTTCATTTTAATTCTTGGAATGAGGGAAGCTTTGGCAGGTCAGACAGGATTGTATCACTGGGTAGATAAAGTTAAATCACTTAAAAAAAACTTATAATCTAAAAATGTTGGAATCTGCGTGGAGTTTTTGGTGGAGGTAATCTGAGACTCGCTTGTTTTGTGTGCATATCCTGCATATCCTGTCTGCTGAAATGGAAAAGCATGCAGATTACACCTTGTGGATTACATAAACAAGCCCTAATCCAGATAAGTTATATGTGTTATTGCACTGAGATAATTTCCCATCAAATCAGTCTGACAGATGGGAAAACTCACCATCTGTCAACGTGACAGGAATTACCTTTAAATCTCCCTAACTAGTCACAAAGGTAATCCAAAGAGTCATTTGCAGGAAATTAATAAATTGTGACGTTTCTCGTTATGCAACAGCATCATTGTATAGGGTCTTTATTCCTTCTGGGTATCTTTTACGTAATAATCTGTTAATCCAAAATACAGGTTTTGGAAAATAGATGGGTGGAAACATCAGGAGCAGCATAGATATATTTTATTATAATATTTAAATGAATGGTGTGCCATCCAGGGCATTTATCTGCAGAGACAGAACCAAACGTGGAGAAGCAGAATTCAGCTTCTATCCACCACAACAAACTGTAAAACAGCTGAAACACTGAGTTCCTTTGATTCAAGGCTAAAAGAGGTGCTTTTAAACCATAATAAATATAACTTTGAACAACGTTTTTGATGTGTTTTGATGATTTTTTGATCTTCTCAAAATTAAATATCTGTTATTGGTTTTCAAGATTGTGACGTATGTTGTTTGTACGTTTCTTACGTATTTCTGTTTCAATGTGAAGCACTTTTGCTCTCCCAGCGGTTTTTGAAATGTGCTAAAGAAATGAAGTGGGTTGATTTTTTTTTTTTAAAGATGGTTTTAAAATGTTAAGAACTTTAAACTTGCTGAAATGTGCAATACAAATAAACTCGAACATACTTGAAAGAATCCAGTAATGTAGTCTCTAAGACACGTGGCAAACTCAAGGCCCGGGGGCCAAATCCGGCCCTCCGTAGCTTTTTATGTGGTCCTCCACAGACTATACTAAACACCAAGTGTGATTAAATATTATATTATCAATCATATCAATGCAGCTTTTATCTGTTTACTGCCAATTTATATCAATCAGTCCCTCCAGTTTCTTGAGAATTTAGTTGATGTATGATTGTGAGGGACCAACTTCCAAAAGAGGACAAAAAAGGTGTTCAAAATATAAAAAAATGTAAATTTAATTCTTCAAAAATGATAAACAAGAAACAATTACATACAAAAAGAAAGAATAACAAATTTGAAACTAACTTAACTGAGGTCAACTGAACTCTAACCAAACAAAACAAAACTGACCTGCAAACAAAGAACAAAAGGCTGCTTAAATAGGGGTGGAGTTTCCTAAAGCTGCCACATGAGGGAGGCACAACATAACAAAAGAACAAACAAATACAAAATTAACCAAAAGTATTCTATAAAACAAATAAAGCAAAGCAAACTTTAACTTAGCACAAATAATAAGTGAATATTTAAGTGAAGAAATTAACTAAATTCAAATCAACTTGAAACAAGTCTCCCCCTCCAGTCTCTTAGAAAATGGTTTGTTCCTGGTCCCTCCTCCAGATGATTTGACAACAGCACCTCACACAAAAAATATAAATAAACTAGTGTGCACCCATTGGAAAATATATGTCTAAATGAAATAACTGACATAACTGTAACTAATATAAAGAGAAAATAAATACTAACACCGTGTGTTGGTGGTAGGAGCATCCACCACAATGATTATAGTCCATGATTTATAAAGCGAGTAAATAAACAGTCACATTTATTATTAGTTCCTGAAGGGACTGAAAAGATGTTCAAAAATATTATGTAATTTTAAGAATTCATTGACATATTAACACTTTGTGAACAGGCTTTATCAACACATTCTGGCACAACCGGCCCTTTAAGAGCCTTCATGATCTTGATTTGGCCCAAAACAAAAATGAGTTATGACACTACACATGCAAAAAACTTGCTCTGGGAAAAAATGACAGATATGTTATATTTAATTTTCTAGATATTGGGTGCCACAACCCCTTCTTATCCAGCCCTGCGTAACCACCCATTTCAAAAACCCCACTCTATGCATGTTTTCATTTAAAATGATTAGTTTAAAATAATTTATGTGCTTTACAATAAAGTTAACAATATAATAGAATAATTATAAGGTTATTTTTTAAATTAGAATCAACAAATGTAGTCAGGAAATCACTTTGGAGAAATTAGGATATATAATCAGACCAAAGACCTATACATTTAAGGACATATTGGACGTCTTAATGCAATTGTTGGAAAGTAACCTAGCTGAAATGAATGAGTAGAGTGGAACAAAGTACTAATATTAATTAAAATAACATATTTATTAACAAGACAGTGATACTTTATTCAGGCATGACAGCTAGATGATTGAAACTTTATTTGACTGTATATTTATATGCTTATTTAGCTATGTGTACTTTTTACCTCTTTATTTTTAATGTTTTTTTTATTGTTAAGTTATACTTTTTTAAACCTAAATCTTATTTTATTTTATACTCTTATTGTGAATGGGAATGTTCAGCGTATGTATGTTTTCTATGTTTCACATAAGCAAAACTCAAAACAAATATTGTTTTTTTTTAAAAGTGACTAATTAATAATAAACTAATAATAAATTTTTGATATAATTTATAGTTATACTTTTATTAAATATGTTATGTACAAAATATAACATGTTAGATTTAAAAATAATGATTAGAGTGAGTGAATTGAATTAATGTCATATTTGTAATAGTTTTTTGCTGAATGATCTCATATTCCTGGTGTTTTGATGGCTTCGCCTCGGCCACATGGGGATCCTGTTATTGGACACTCGCCTGCTTCTCAACCCGAGGACAAGAGCACTTCCGGTTTCCTCTCGGCTCCCGCCCCGCTCCGCCATCATGAAGTCCTGAACAAAAAAACGGATGAGAGCCGAGCAAAAATGGGGATAAAACGGAGCGGAGAGGCAGCTCGCCGACAGCGTTAGCTGAAATGTCACTGCCAATCGGAGTAGGGAGCGGAGTGGCGGGTTTTAATGAGCCGGTCTCCCGCTGAACGACGTCCTCTATCAGCTCCGGCCGTTGACGTTATTCGGTTAGCCGCTGTGCTAACAGCAGCCCCGGAGCCTTGGCCCTGATTATTCTCCCCATTTTCTGCGCTCGTGGGTTAGCTGGCGGGCGGCAGTCAGCTGGCTCCACTCATGTCAAGTAGCAGAAAGCTACTGGGAGCACCGGGATGGCCGGGGGTTTAGCGACAACCGCGACGGGCAGACGGAATGTGGGCTGTTCGTGTTGAATAGACACCAGAGCCGAGGAGGAGAAGGGAGGACAGGGGAGGGAGAAACCAAGATTTTCCTGCCAGGCCAGTCAGCTAGCTCCAGGGCTAGCTACAGTGGATCCCAACAACCACGGTAAGATTTGATATAAATCATTTAAACTGCTAAAAAAGAAACAATCGTTGTCTTTGTAAATCGTTATGTATTGAATGTTAAGAATGGACACTTCTTAGGATATTTACAGTTTAACCAATATTTTACACCCTTTTTTGGAACCATATTTAGCTTGTCACGATAACAAATTTTGCTAGACGATAAATTGTCTTAGAAATTATTGCAATAAACGATAATGTTGCTGTTTTCAGACCATTTTCAAGGAATATGAAAGTATGAAATAATATATTCTGAAATATATATTGACTTTAAATTCTAATTAACTTTAAATATCACTGGAACTTTAAATATCCAAAATTCTTAAACAAAACAGAATCAAATAAAAATGAATTATAAAGTCTTTATAAATAAAACTATCCTTAAAAAAAGGATTAATTGAAATCTAAGCACCAAACTGAAGACTTCTATCATACAGTTTTTGGTAGAAAGAGAAAAAATGCTAAATCGCGCCAATGGAAATGATTGAGTTTGTTGTCATTTATTATGATTGATTTACTCCTTGACACAGGCCTACCAGTATATAGGCTTGTCACAAGAACAAATTATTGTGCTTTGCATTAGTATTGGAATTTTTAGGCAATTTTCAACTCTCACAATCATAATGACTTGTTAATGTAAGTATACCCAGCTAAAGGTAAAAAAAAAAATCTAATTTAACTAGAACTGTAACACATTGTAATACCCAAAATAAACAAGCAAAACAACAATAATTTAAATTGGTGTTTTGAATTTAGGCAGGGAAAACCTGACTAATCTCTTTAAAGATTATTATCCTAATGAAAATTATTACACATTTTAATTTTTCACTCAATTAATTTCTTTCTTTCTTATTTTGATTGGCTTGCTGGTATGCATCTTGATTTTATTAAACCCACCCATGTTTTACATGCAGTTGGAAATAAAAATAAGCCTTTACAGGAACCACATCAGTGCAACATAACTCGTCTCTTTTTGTGTTGCCTGCCACCAGGCTCTTAAAAAATAGATCAAGACGGCTCGGCTTTGGTTGCAATATTTAAACAGCTTCTCATTTCTAAAGGGAACCAAGCAGTTCCTCTTTGACGGCAACAGAACAACCACAGAACAGCATCTGATGTGGCTTCGTTTTGAAGTTTGCATTCAAAGCCCCTGGGCTTCAGAGTTATTGTCCTGTTGGAATAAACCAGAAGTGGACTCACAGAATCAATAATTATTGTAATTATACTCCACCTTTAGCATGCTAACGCAGCCTGTCTGATGGAGTCTCACTTCAGTAGACGCTCACGCCTGTCATGGACACCAGCGTCCAAGACTCTAAAACTACACAAAGCACAGATAAGAAAGAGAGGATTGTATGATTTTCCAATATGATTATGCAATTGCAATGAGAGCTGCATGATATTAGGATATATATTTATCAAATCTGAGACCATTATATCATTAGGAATAAATTTCAAATAGTAAAATTTTGTAATTTTTTACCTTCTGAATGACAAACACGTTTTAACCAAACATTCACCAGACAGACACACACCTGCAGTTTTTGTTAAAGTTTCATACATTTTTGATTGAAAGTGATTTGGAAAAAGGTTCTTTTACCTGATTTTATTTTTTTGTCATAAATTATTGTCATTTCTGTCCCTAGGATACCAAAATCTTTGTTTTTGTCTGTTTCATTATGTAATTTAAAATATTAAATTATTGATAATTTGATCAGTTTCTCTGTACCTGAGAAGACTTTTCACCAAATTTTTTTCCCCTTTTTTTGAGTAATTTTCTGGACTGCTAAAATTTACTTGAGTATAATTTTTGTCTACTCCATTCTGAATAAATAAAAACATTTTAGCACTTCATTTCAATAGACATAAGACATTTTCTGGCGTTAGTTTCCAATTTTATGAGTTCAAACACCAAATATGCTAAATGAACCAGAAGGAAATTTGTTGGATGAAGAAAACATTTGCTTACATAAAGTCAGAACTACAAAATAGAGCTTCACCTCAAAGCATATTTGTGTGTAGAATGTCCTAGTCAAAGTCCAGTGGAAAAAATGCATGTTTGTAGATGCTTTTCATCCAGTTTGATTGAGCTGGAGCTGCTATGAACGGGCAAAAGTGCTAACATAGAGACCATGGTGCCGCTACAAAGTGTTGGATTTGAAAAACAGCATGCCACACTTTTCAGATGTTTCAAAAATGTCTGAACAGTTTATGAGTCCATCATTATGTACTCGCATAATGTAAGTCTGTGGTTGTAATTAAACAAAAAGCATCAGGGGTGTGAATGTTTCTGCACAGATATAGATTGATTATTGGTATTAATAACTGATGATACCAATATGCGTCATCAAACCAGTCAGGATTTGAGGATAGTGATTATTTTATACAGTTTGCACATTTCATCTCTGCATTTATGACCTTTTAAAATATTTTGATTAAATATTATATTTGTGTTATAAATAGGTCTGAAACTGTAACCTTTTCTAACAATGTTTTTCTTTTGCCAAGTTACAAAATATCATAAAGTTGGGAACTAACTAGTGACTGAAACTAAATGCTGTTATCTAGGTTCTTCGAATAAATAGTTACATAATAAATGTATATTCAAATTAAACCCGGAACATGTTTTAAAACTTATCTTTAAGCTTTAATAAAACGTTTCAGGAGTTGGTGACATTACAATAAAACCATTCATAGTGTATTATACCTTATCCTATCCGGATAATAAATTATCAGTCGTAATTTAAATGTGGTGAACTGTGTCACTTTAACCTTTGGTTACCTTTACAAAGTGGTTGTTGGCTACAGTTTCATTTGGTTCAGGGAAATCCTGTGGCCTGACGGCTCTGCTCTGCAGGAAAATCCTCCAGTTTTTACAGGTTTATTCTAATCAGAATACAGCAAGGAAAGTGTTTGTCGAAATAATTTACTGCTGCATTTTATCCCAGTTTCAGTTTTATTGTATTGTGGACGAATTCATTCTTCTTCACTTTTCACACATTTTCTCGCTTTACATTGGGTAAAGCCCAGAAAGTATTATGAAAAACTATAATATTGTTTTTTTAAAGACTATTTTCAAGTAATACAATAGTAATGCCATAATAACAATAATGCAAGAACGTATTCTCAAAGATCAATTAACTTTAACTTCTAATGAACATTTAACACTGGAAATGGAAGACATTTAAAATATCCAACATAAACAAAAAACAACAAATAAAATGAAATATGAAGTCTTTGTAAACAAACCGTCTTTCAGTAAAATCGGCTAGTTGAGACCAAAGCAGCAGACTGAGGATTTTTATCATCTTGTGTTTGGTAGAAAAAGAAACTATAAATCATGCAAATGGAAATGATTGAGCTTGTTTTAATTTTTTTATGCGATTAATTGATTTGTTGCTTATTTCAACAGGATTACACACAACCAAAACCATAAATAAAATGAATCATGATGTCTATGAATAAAGTTGGCCTTCAAATCGGATGTTATATTAATTTATCATATGACTGTTTATTACTAAGTTCATTTCTTAAACTTCCATCCTCTAATTTATCATAACGGTTTCAGTTTTTCATGTTTTGCTCTGTTTAAAAGCGTAACAGACCTTTTGAAATTATTTGGTAAGCCGTGTTTCCGTCAGAGGTGTTAATGGTTCGTTCAAACAGCAGACGCTCACGCTGCGTTTGTGCTGCGCTCCCCGCTAGGCGCTGGCCATGCCGTCGAGTGTGCGGGCCGGGAGCCTGAAGGACCCGGAGGTGGCGGAGCTGTTCTGCAGGGAGGACCCCGAGAAGCTCTTCACCGACCTCAGGGAGATCGGCCATGGGAGCTTCGGCGCCGTCTACTTTGTGAGTTTGTTGCTGTGTGTTTGGATGTCTTGATGTCTCTTGTGTCGTATCTGTGCCAAATCTGTCACATGAAAGATGCTCTGATGTTTATTTACTAAAGAATTTGTTTAAAGTCTGAGTCAGATGAAACGCTGCGTTTGCTGCAGGTTGCCCTATTTTTGCAAGTAAACCAATTCAAAGAATGTGCAAAAAGATATCAGTTTGAAGGCTGCATTGTTATAGCTTGCAGTTTAACCCTTTAAGTCTCAAATCTCAAGTTCTTTAAATGTCCTGTGAGTAAATTATTTGCCAAATTTCTCCAAAAGAACCATAACTTTTAATATCTAGCATTTATTTACAACTTACAGTCTGTTAAGATTAAAATGAAGAAAAACCTGCTTCCTGTAACAGCGGGAGTGAAACTACTGAAATATCCAGATATTTTCTGGGAAGCGCATCGTCTTTAGAAACTGTTGGGAGTTTTTCAGATGGTCCAAAATATCAGGGAGTTACGGCACCGCAACGTTAACTTATGAAAATGTGTCATTGCCAACATATTCAGCTGAATTGATTTAATTCATAAATTATCAAAATTGACCTAAATCTGCTTTTATTTATGAAAAAGTGACCAATTACCCTTTTTTTATTGATCAGAAACTAGATTTTGGTCCAGTTGATACATAGAAAATTTGCTATTCTTTCTTTAATAAGGCAAACCAATATGCAAAATAAATAAACAAAACAACAGAAATGATAAATAAAATGAATGATAAAATCTCTGTAAACAACATTATCCTCCTAAAGATGGCAGGTGAAGGGAGGAACTGTTGATTTAATCCTTATTGCTTTGACATGTCATAGTTTCTTTTGCAGAAATAAAACCTTCATTTGAGCTAAACCTGAAACTCATTCCCCCTCCCCACTCCAGGCCCACGACATCCGCACCAATGAGGTGGTGGCGATCAAGAAGATGTCCTACAGCGGCAAACAGTCCAATGAGGTACAAGACAAAACATTATTTCTATCAGGTGTTTCCACGGTTCATTTCTGGATAAAATTCTTGATATTCAAAATGCACAATTTAGCAATAAAATTCAGTCTAACAACTAATTAAAAGCATCACATTATCAAAAAAAAATTTTTTTTTTTCTTGCCGTCTGACGCTAAATCAGACTAAGCTTTTTTGTTTTACATCGTGTAGAATTAGTAAAGTTATTTTTATTAACTTAAAGCAGGAAAACATAATTCTTGTAGAGATCTCATTCCTTGTGTTCAAGCACTTAATTTGAGCAGGAATTTTATTTGCCCATCATTTGTTTAGATTGTTTCAATGTAATGTATATTTATTATTTGTAATTGCTCAGTGATTTATTGATCTGTGTATCATCGTTACTATTAATAATAAAAATGTATTTTATTTATAATACTTTTTGTATCTTTAGATCTCAAAGGGCAAAAAACAAACGCAATTGTAACGAATAAAAATAAACCAGACGTTAAAACCAATATTTAAGAAATTGAACCAAAAATTTTGCTAAAAATAAATGTATTGTGGTGCCTTCAGATTGGCTTACGTTTTTTACACTAATAAACTTAATTCAAATTTAAGGATTTTCAGTATTATTATTAGAATTTATTTAAATTAAATTGGTGTTTTTCATTTCTCTGACCAGTAAGGTGTATAGAGTATTTGTGAGACTTTTTAAAACAAAAATGTTTTGTTAAATATTAGTTTATCTTGTCTCTGCTGTACAATGTAGTATACTATTGAAATTATTTCACATAACAGTGTCTTTTTTTAGTGTATTTGCATTGTTTCTATCTCAAAAGTGAGGCAGTGAAAATGCTTGAAAAGTGTTTTGGGTTTTACCGTACGGACCGTGGATTAGTCAGCTGGTTGTGACGGTGGTTCTGTTTCTGCTCCAGAAATGGCAGGACATCATCAAGGAAGTGAAGTTCCTCCAGAAGCTGCGCCACCCGAACACGGTGGAGTACAGAGGCTGCTACCTGAGAGAGCACACTGCCTGGGTGAGGCGCTGCACAGCTCCAGCAAATGCAACACATTTACAAACACTGAATTAAAAAGAAAACTTGTCTCACTATCTGATATTAAATTACTCTAACATGTCATATCAGGTGTCCTCCTTCTGCATGTCCTCCTTCTCTGACCAATCCGTCTGAATTTTGACCATTTCCCCTTTTCCCGCTTCTAATTTAACTTCTTGTTTCAAAGTAGCTGTAAAACGAAAATGTGACACTAAGTGGTAACATTTGCTTTTTTCTTTCTTTTGTTTTTTTTTTTTTTTTGCAAATGCCACTTTGAGATTTGAAGGATTTACTTATTCTGTGTAAACAGTTCATGTTAACTTGATTTTTTTTTTCTTTTTTGCATTTTGACAACTCCTCAGGACTTGATTTGTAGTAAGAGTGCTCTGCAAAAAACCCCAAAATCCTAGCAAGTATTGTTAGTCTAGTTTCCTGGAGGGATTATGATTAGATTTCTTTCTAATTGGTAAATGTACAGTTTTACTATTTCTCTGCCCACCTCTGCATAATGCTACAAATTCTTATTGAAAAGGTGCATATTTAAAAATAAAATAAAAAAAGCCATTAAAAATTATTTTTTGGAGAAGGAGTAAAGTCAATATTTGTCTTTCATGTTCTCATTTTTTGATCCAATGACAAAAAAATAAATAAATTTCTATTTGTAATTCATCACTAAAAAAGCAGGAACTCTAAACCTCTGGTATTTATTTATGTAATGTCACTTCATTGTTCCACTTGCTGTTTGGATGTTGTAGTCGTCGCAGCGTCTGTGTTTGTCTAATCCGACTCGGCTCCACAACTTACTGAAACGGCAGGAAGTGAGATTAGATTCCAGGTTTAGCTCCTGGTTCCTTCTGGGCTTAATAAGAGTTTTATTCCCAAAGACGATTCACTGAAAACCTTTTTTCATATTTGAAAAAGCTAATGTGGTTTAAAAGCAATAAATCATTGATAAGTAGCTAGATTTATTCAGGTTCACTTCAGCGCAGGAGCAAAATAAAATGGTCGCTGTGTGGTCGGATGTTTCCAAACAACACTCTTCCTATTTGCTCTTTTCCAGCTGGTGATGGAGTACTGTTTGGGTTCAGCCTCCGACCTGCTAGAAGGTACAAGGGAACAAAACATTTATAGAGATTTTGCTGCGTTTTCAGTCCATCGTTTATGCAAATGTAAACATTCTCTCCACAGTCCACAAGAAACCCCTCCAAGAGGTGGAAATAGCTGCCATTACCCACGGTGCTTTGCAGGGACTGGTCTACCTTCACTCTCACAACATGATTCACAGGTGAACCTCACTTCTCTTCAGCCAACCCGCTCTCCGCGCCCACGCTCTGAAGAGAGGCATAACCGGTTCTGATAACAAAGCTTATGCAACACTGTTTATGCTGCAACGACGTCTCATCTCTTCCTCGGTTTTTCTGTTTTTCTTCCATCTGATGCTTTCTGCCTGTCAGGGATGTGAAAGCAGGAAACATCTTGCTAACAGAACCGGGTCAGGTCAAACTGGGAGACTTCGGCTCTGCTTCCATTGTTGCTCCGGCCAACTCCTTCGTGGGAACACCTTACTGGTAAAACAACCACGGCATATTTACTCAAATGTTTCATACACACCAGGGTTGAAACAATTAGTCGTGATTAATCAATCATTCAAATAATCAACTAAGTAAGTAATCAGTTAATCGTTTATGTATACAGAATAAAAATGCACAAACTTCTCTTGTTTTACATAAATGTGAATTACCAAAGTTATTTCAAATCGCCAAATGTCAGAAAATGGGGCAAGAAAATGTTTTTGTTTTTTTGAATAATTTTCTTTGAATTCAGAAGTTTCCATACTTTTGGTTGGTATCAGGGATAAACTGTATGACTTGAGTCTGACCTGCAGTCGAAAACTTTTTGCACCAGTGCAAAAAGTTACTTAGGTTGCAAGTGACAATTATTTTTGATTAATTGATCGATTATCCTGATGATTGATGGATTAATCAAATAAAAAAGATCAGATTCTGCATATTTTTTATTTAAACTTTTTAATGCAATATGTTTATTTGGATTAAAAATGCATATAAACAAATCAAGTTCTCTTTTAAATAACAAAATAAACATTTAATGTCTGAAATGCAACAACACATCATTCCTTGACTAATAAGCTCATATCTAGCTAATAAGTTACCTTTTAATTAGTTAGTGTGTTCTTTTAAGAAGGAACTGGAAAATTTTATTTAATAAATAATCAATATTAACTATGTTAGAATTATGTCTTTTTTGGGGTGGGTTTTTAATCTTATCAGTCGATGTTCAGACTCTGGAAACGGATTTGCCTGAAGGTGCATCTCTGTTGTTCAAATGGAAACAGAAAAGATGGAAATGTTTTCTCCGTGCAGGATGGCCCCTGAGGTGATCCTCGCCATGGACGAGGGACAGTACGACGGGAAGGTGGATGTGTGGTCACTTGGCATTACCTGCATAGAGCTGGGTAAGAGAAAAAAACTCCCATTAGTGTGTTAAGGACAGAAGTTCACGAAGCTGAAACCATTTCCTCTTTCCTATCGCTCCCTACTTCGTCACGTCGCAGCGGAGAGGAAGCCGCCGCTGTTCAACATGAATGCTATGAGTGCCTTATACCACATCGCCCAGAATGAGAGCCCCGTGTTGCAGTCGAATCACTGGTGAGAAATGACAAAAACTATTTTCTATTGCTGCTTGACCTGGAGATTTCTCAACCGTAAACATTAACACAGTTTGCAAAGTTTTAGATGAATAAAAAAACATAAAAAGTGCATCACAGCAATCAAGACTGAAAGTTAAATAATTTTTTGATGGGAAAACAGTAGTTTAAAAAAAACAACATTTGGGTTTCTCTAAAGAGTTTTTGTGTTGTCAGGATGAATTATAATTCTAGTTTTCATGTCCTGCTATGATAATAAAAAACATAATAATTTCCTGATTGGCAAATCCATCAAAGAGAGACTGGCCATAAAAGTTACCAGTGGAAAATAAATCTGATACTCAACAGCATCTTTAAACCTTTTTGAACTGCTATTAAGCTACGATTTTTATTTGTTTTCTATTCCAGGTCGGATTATTTTCGCAATTTTGTGGACTCCTGTTTGCAAAAGCTGGCGCAGGACAGACCTACCTCTGATGTGCTGCTGAAGGTACGAATAGGAAGAGGAAAGAGGTTTGGACGATTAAGGCAGGCAGAGTCTTCAGATTGTTTCTCTGACTGAAAAATTAGAAGATTTGACAGAAAATGCTTTTAATTGTAGGATATTTTTATTTTAATACATCTAGGGTGGAAACGATTGTGATTAATCGATTGTTAAAATAATTGTCAAATAATTTAGAAATTGATTCATTGTTAAAGAAAAAGAACATATTTAGAGCAGCTATTAAGTTAAAACTGTACAAGATATAAATATTTCGCAATTAAGATACAAACATTTGTGAAGATGTTTTATCTTCACTTGAGATTCACTAACTGGAAAGCTGGTTATTGTATTTTAGGCAATAAAATGTTTTTCTTATTTAAAAAAAGAAACTGAATTGTTTACTTATATTACTGTTTTTCTAATATTGAATGAAAGAAAGTTCAAGTGGTAAATAAAAAATATGCAATTTTTTAACAGATTATTTGTAAAAAATAATTATAAAATTCATAAAAACTTTGTCTTGAAGCGTAATTTAATTAAATTTTTCGTACACGATTTTGTCGCTGAGTTCTGAATCATAAACAGTAAAATCTTGAAATTTTCCAAATTCACTCATAAAATGTGGATTCTCCTGTTGGAAACATAAAGTGTTGTTTCATCCTGTCTGTTTCTGTCCTCTGCTTTGTCCCAGCACCATTTCCTATGCAGGGAGCGTCCCATGACGGTGGTGATGGATCTGATCGCGCGAACCAAGGACGCCGTCCGCGAGCTCGACAACCTGCAGTACCGCAAGATGAAGAAAATCCTGTTTCACGAGGCTCACAACGGTCCGGCACCGGAAGGAGGGGATGAGGAAGAGGTGAGGCTGAGATGGATAGAAAGGCTGCATTCATTCCTTCATTCGTTTATTGCCCATTCAGCTAATCCTGCTGCAATAAACCAATAAACCAATCGCATGACAAATTAAAGTAAGCGATAATGTATTAATGTTGTTGAAGAGCCGCCATTTTGAAAAATTATGCAAACATTTGGCATCATGTACAAAGTAGATGGTACCTTCCTCTTTTGCCTGTTTTCCCTGTCTATTATTATTTTTTTAAATCCAGTTTTGTTTTCTGAGACTTCATAATCTATTTTAATTATTGGTGTTTTATTTTTAATATTTTAAATGTCTTTCATTTAAAATATGGAAAACAATTTAATTTAACTTTAAATTAAAGTTTTCTGACCTTTGTGGACTTGTTAGTAGATACTAACATATCTACTAATATGTTAGTAGAAAATGGTTTCTAAATTTTCATTTAGATAATATTTTCATTTATTGGGATAATTTATGGAATAATTTATCACAATTTTATTTTATCAGAACAATATAATCTATTAGTTTCTTTTTCATCCACTCATGTTACCTATAACCTATTTCTAAAGTCTTAAATGTAGAAATACAAATTTATTTCAAGGTGAAAGTTTCTACTTATAATTTTAAAAATGTTACCTGAAATAATAGAACTTGAAATTATGTTTTGGATTTTTGACATAATAAAATTCTGTAGGGGGAGCGGGAAGCTAACGGCGCTAAATGATAAACATTAGCCCCTGAAAACCTCTGAAAAGTTATTTTGATTTGTTGATTCAGAAAAAAAGACTTAAGAGGTCCAACATTTCTCAAATCAAACATGTCAATCTGTTGGGAAATATAATATGGAAGCCTGGTTTCTGCATTACCTTCATCGCATGTTTCAAACCAGAGTTTTTTTTCCTCCTCCAGGATGTGGAAGGGTACATGCTGCGCACCGGCACAGTGAACAGCATGGAGAGCTCCCACTCCCTGCCCTCCATGTCGATCAGCGCCAGCTCCCAGAGCAGCTCCGTCAACAGCCTGGCCGACGGCTCGGACGACAGCGGCGAGATGGCCATGATGCAGGAGGGCGAGCACACCGTCACCTCCAACAGCTCTGTCCTGCACAAACCTCTGGTCAGACATGTCACTCTTTATTTAAAAGTATAAATCACTAACTTAGACCACAAAGCCCAAAAATACCACCTTCAATAAAGTATCATTTTATGATCATTGTTTTTAACCAGTAATTTGTTTTTTGGTACATTTAAGTGTCTGTTAAAAACTTAAATCAAACAGTTTTGGGTAATTTTGACTTTAGAGAAACTGCACCCCCTACAGGAAATGTGAAGCAATAGCAAGACAAAGTTACACTACATGCAAGGGAGCAAATGTTATTGTTTCCTTCAAAGTAAAGTTATTATGCTTCAAATATGCAAAATGAAGCAGCAACAAAATAAATTATTATTCAGCAAAAACACAATGATTTGAGACACTCTGAACTGGAGAAGATGGATCAGAAGAGCCAGTTTGGACATCAAGGAGGCTGTTATGTGTAGAAATGTATTTAAATTTCCACATTTGGGTTTGCATTACTTCATCTGGTCATACATGGGTGGTTAGGTTGATATGACAGCAAAAGTCAGCATCGAATAAAAAACCCCAGTAAAAGTCCGTAAGCGGGATACTTTGGCATCATCTTGTCTGTATTTATTAAAGTTTAAAATAATGTAACTAAGAATTAATCTTTTTAATTGGTGTCTTTAAATTCAATATTTAAATTCCATGAAGCACTTAGATTATCTCGGTGCTTCAGCTTCAGCCAATCGGCACCAAGAAAAAGAAATCGCTCTTCTGGATTGCCTCCCAATAGTGTTTTTTCTTCCCCAGCTGCATTTTTATGAAATATTTTAGAATGCTCCACAAAAAAATGTGTAAATAAATTACACGATGTTTACAAGATGTTTTATTTTTAGTCATAAATAAAGTAGTTAAAACAAAATTCTCTCCACTTTGTAGAGCCACGACAACATCTACGACGATCCCTATCAGCCAGAGGTCGACTCTCAACGAGAAGCTTCGTCTGGCGGCGGAGGAGGGGGAGGCGGTGGCAGACGGCGACGGCGAGACCACTTTGCCACCATCAGAACCGCCTCGCTGGTGACCCGTCAGATCCAGGAGCATGAGCAGGGCTCGGCTCTTAGGGAGCAGATGTCTGGGTGAGACCCTGAAATGCTTTACATTGAGAGAAAATGTTTTATTGTTTTGGGAACGCTGAATATTTAAGACAGGGTCTCTGCACTGCCTCAAAAAGTAAGTTGGCCTTAAATATGTTCATCAAACTTCTTAAATTTTGTCATGGCAGAACTAATCTCATATATTCTAAGTATTTTTTCTACTTCCTTTGGTTCTGTGACTTACTGCTCACACCCCTTTGCTAGCTAACTCGCTACTATTTTCCATCGCCAGTTGGTTTGATGAAGTTTGTACATTTATTTGGAAATTTAGGTTTGAAAGTCTTAAAGTTGTGAAAACCTCCAGAAACGGTGTTAAGACTTTAATTACATCAGAGTGGGAGGAAAAGAAAAAGCTAAACTTCCTCCTGCCAAATGATTTTGATGCACTGCGTCTCATCGCAGGTATAAACGGATGCGGCGGCAGCATCAGAAGCAGCTGATGGGTCTGGAGAACAAGCTGAAATCAGAGATGGACGAGCACCAACTGAGGTTAGATAAGGAGCTGGAGAACCAGAGGAACAATTTCTCCATGGAGCTGGAAAAACTGTCGAAGAAGCACCAGGGTGTCCTGGAGAAAGAGGTGAGTTTAGAGGAGCCGAATCACGCGATACAAACTCCTGCAGTACTTTTGATGGAGATGTTCGGGTTTGTTTAGATGAAGGCCGTCCTGACGGAGGAGAAGAAGTTCCAGCAGCACATTCTGGGTCAGCAGAAGAAGGAGCTGACCAGCCTGCTGGATTCCCAGAAGCGACAGTACCGACAGCGCAAAGAGCAGCTGAAAGAGGTGCCACAGATTAGCAATAACCAACATGTTAAGGTTGTCAAAGTCAAGCAAGTGTAGCTGACCTACTTCCCTCTCTATTCTTTTTGTCATTTGTCTGTAGGAACTGAACGAGAACCAGTCGACGCCAAAGCGAGAGAAGCAGGAATGGCTGGTGCACCAGAAGGAGTGCATGCAGCAGCTGCAGGCGGAGGAAGAAGCCGGCCTGCTACGGAGGCAGCGGCAGTATTATGAGCTGCAGAGCCGCCAGTACAAGAGGAAGATGCTGCTCGGACGCCACAACCTGGAGCAGGATCTGCTCAGAGAGGTATCATCCCTGACTGGGAGCCTGAATGTGATCCTGGTATTTTTTCATAAATCTTGAGTCCAGTGAATGGACACCATCACTGCTGATGGTGAAACATGATTTCATTCAGATCAGTTGATGCACAGATGCTAAAAATTCTTAAAAAGCAACATATGTATGTATATACACATTTGTGTGCAATAAATTCACTAATATAAAATTATAAGTTTATTGCAAATTTTCCACAAATGTTAAAATGATTGTGTGTACGTAATGCTAACTCCCACCTACAGGTGGCGGTATTTCTTCTAACTCATTGCTGTTTGATTTTGTCAAGTTTTTATTTAAAGAAACATTTAGATGCTTAAAATATTTCTGACTATTCCCCCAAAATTACGATTCTTGTAATTATGATTTGTAGTATTTCAACTTTATTTTCTTACAACTGGTTTCTTGTTATATTATTATTATTATTTTATTCTCGTAGTTACATTTTTGTAATGTTTTGGTAATTTTATGTCTTTATTGTCATACTATTTTAACCTTTTCTTGTAATATTAGAACTTTATTATCTTACAACTGTATTCTCGTATTATTCCTTTACTCTAGTATTTATATTTTGTTTTTTAATGTTATGGCTTTAACCTTGCAATATTTGAACTTTGTTTTAATATTATTGCGACTTTATTGTCATTCGGCTGTTTTCTTGTAATATTGCTGTAGTTTAGCTCGATGCTTTGGTTGTAGTGCTGACCTGAAGTCCAAATAAACAAAGCTGTAAAACGCTCTTATCAGACAAGATGGCGGCTTGTGGCTCCATGGAAACCCAAGTACAAAGTGATTTTCCAAATGGTGACTTGAATCACCAGCGAAGCTCCTCTTCCTGACTGTGCCGTCTCTGTCTGCAGGACCTGAACAAGAAGCAGACCCTGAAGGACCTGGAGTGCGCCATGCTGCTGCGGCACCACGAGTCGACGCAGGAGCTGGAGTTCCGGCAGCTGGGCGTGGTGCAGCGGACGCGCGCCGACCTGATCCGCACGCAGCACCAGACCGAGCTCACCAACCAGATGGAGTACAACAAGCGGCGCGAGCAGGAGCTGCGGCAGAAACACGCCATGGAGGTCCGCCAGCAGCCCAAAAGCCTCAAAGTGAGTGAGGGCCGGGACGGCGAGGCGGCGCCGGGGGGGCGGGGCTTAGAGCCCGACGACATGGAGGAGTGTCAGGAAGAGCCGGATGGAGCCACGGAGCTCCGAGACGACGAGGCGGTTAGAGAGGAAGGAAAAGGAAGCGAAGAGAGAGAGGTAGAGGGGGTGCAGTGGGCGTATGAGGGCGATCAAAGCGAGGCATGTCACATTGAGTCTGATGAAGAGGAAGAGGAGGGCCGCGGCGTGGCCGACGGATGTCCGTCTGAGCTCGATGACCTGTCAGAGTTCTACTTCCCTGATGCGCCGGAGGAGCTGGACACGGTCGCCGCCGTGGTCCCGCCTCCCCCGCCGCAGTCTTCCCTCCCCTCCCTGTTCTCCCACGCTGTCTGCCTGCTGCTCTCGCTCTCCGCCGCCGCGCAGCCGTCCAACCTCACGCTGCTGCTGCTCTCCGTCTTCCTGCTGTCGCTGCGCCGCTCGCCGCCGCTGCCCTCGCTGGCGTCATTTGTGCTGTCGGCCGAGCTCGTCTTCCTGGCGCTCTTCTTCTCCTACTTGCTGCTGCGCTCCTGCTGCGCGCTCTCCCTCTCCTCCTTCCTGTGGCTCAGCCTGTGGGGTGGCGGCATCTTCAGCCTGGCGCTCGCCGTCAGCCTGGGGCTCTACTACATCCCCTTCATCCTCGTCTCCGCCTCCTTCCTCAGCTCCCCCGCCATCTTCCTTTCTCTCTTTCTGCTCGTCGCGCTCGCCGTTCGGCCGGCGCGCCGCTTCCTCCAGCGGGCGCCGCGGAAGCTCAACCGCTTGTGCATGCGCGTTCTGTTCCGCTTGCCCCGCCCCCTTTTCGCCATGCTGCAGTCGGTTCTGGGCGGCGTGGCGGAGCGGAACCTTTACGAAATGTTCCCCAAAGCCGGGCGCAACTGGGGCGTCCGCCAGTCGCGGATCCCCGTCCCTTTGAAGAGCTTACCCGCCGAGCATCACGCCCGCCGCCGTTGCCACGGCAACTCGCGCCTGGCCAAGCTGCTGCTTTGGGTCGGGCGTTTCGGAAGACGGCCGCTAGGGGTCCTCGCGGACTTTGCGAACACCGTGATCCTGAAACTCGCCAGGCGAGTCGTCACGAACCTCCCGTTGCGCGTCCGGGTCAAACTCCGAACCCTGGGGCTCCTGAGGAAGGAGCTGCCCAGCCGGTTACCACGGTTACTGCCCCGGGAGGTCCGAGAGACGAGGCAGAGGGAGAGGAGGAGGAGGAAGATGAGGGAGGAGAGGATGAGGATGTATCGCGAGGAAACGAGATGGGAGTGCGGGTTGAGGCGAACCGCATCCGGGAGGTTTGAGAGAGGGAAACTCCGACCGTGGAGATAACAGGAAGTGACCCGGTTCTGGTTCCTGCCAATACACAACAACTTAACAAGGATCATGGGTTTAGCTTCCAGTGCAAATATCTTAGGACACTTCAAAAAAAAACTTTTCAGCAGAAATTGGGTTTAGTTAATAATTATTTTAAGTGAAATAATCGGCCATTTTGGCTTAAAGTCTGTGAATAATGTTGATGAAAAGTTACTTGCAAATTGTTTTTGTCTTATTTCAAATATTTTAAGATATTTGCACTAGAAACTGGACCAAAATACTAAAAAGACTTTATAACTGTTGTGTTTTTGCAGTGTATAACCAGCTAATCCAGAGATTATCCCCCATTTCCTCATTGTGCTTTTTGTAAAAGTTCCTTAAACCTCCATCAGTTTTATTACTGTGTTCTTAATTTCTAAGAAGAATCTTTTTATGGTTATTTTAAGACCGTTTTGTTTTTATTTTTTAATCTTTTTTTATTTCATTTTGTTTTTCATTAGTCGTCTCATTTGAATGTGCCGAGAACAAATACTTCAGTGTTATCGACGCTCCGTGAATGAAACTCCTTTATGTTAAAAATTTGTTAAAAAGCTGTGAAAAATAATTTAAATAAAATAAAAAAAGGTTTTATGATTTCAGAAGGGTTTCACTAACGTCGCCCTCAACACTAGCTAGCGGTCGGCGGTTATCGAAGTGCAATAAACGGCGGCGGCCATCTTTACTGTCGCTTCCAATCAAATCCGTCTGTTATTGATGGAAAGAAACAGAGAAATTCAACCTTTAATTTGAATTTTTTGTTTTGTGGAGGTTTTTTTATGGGGAAAACAGAAACGGGCCCAAAGCATCACTGGTCCTCCTCCATGCTTTCCTACATATCACTCCCACATTTTCTACAAGCTACTTCCTGTTTCGTTAAGACCAAATACAAACTGTTCTTACTGGAATGACATGCCTGTCAGAATTTCATTGTTGAATTAAACTTTCTTTTTCTAGGAAGTAGCTACTTTTTCAATGATGAAGACAAACACACTTATGCCTTATTTTATTGCTATTTTCTCTAGTTTTTCCCATTTGGAAGACCGATTAAAGAAAGTAGTTACAGTTACTCAAGAATCAGGGATTAATTATCATCAAGCATTCCCAGATACACAATTAAAAACATGATTTTCTGTAAATTTTGTGAACAATAATTTCTTAATATTGAAATCACGATTAAATGTGTTTAAATTAAAAGTTGAATTTCTCCCTGCGTCAATAAGAGGTTAATTTAAAGTCATGAATATAAACCAGTAGTGCCAATAAAACGATCTGTTAAAAACCAGAATGTTAACTCGGTTAAGGTTGTTGATTTTTCTAGAAATCCTGGTTTCAGTTTTTCAAACCATTTCGTGCATAAAGCTGTTCAAATCAGCCATCTTTCAGTCGCATTTAGTTTTGCTACATTATTGCGCTCAATGCAATAGTCTTGATATGATTTACCGTGTAAACATTTCCCTTTTAAAATGAAAAGTGCCTACTTTCAGCTGTTTGCACAAGTCTTAGTCTGTTGTGAAGAGACAAAGTAGAGTAGAAAACGAAGATATCTAAGTACTTAAAGCCTAATATAATAAAATTATATTTAATATATCAGCATGATATAGAACTTTATTGAAGCCATATTTAGTTGACAATCTTTTGCGAAATGCAGGGCTAGATTATTAAGCACAAATGTGAAAAACGGAGCAACCAAACGACCAAAAATATCCAGATGAAAGGAACAAAATTCATATATTTTCTTTTTAGTCAAAGTTTTTATATTTTCCAAAAACAGTGCAGCTACTCTTCACCTCAAGTGACCTTTATTTTATTTTATTTTATTGATATCAGGAACCAAAGATATTCAGCGACCAACCAAAACTGTTCCAAGAAGCTAAAACCAAAAATATATATTGGATTTTATTTTTACACATTTTGCTTAAAAACAACAAAAACATTTTATCTTCTACCAGAAACACCAAAGTGCTCCAGTAAAAACAGGAAGTTTTAGATCATTAGGGATAAAAATGAAGGAAAAACATTTAAGCCGTTTATTCACATGGAGGATTATAAAATAAAAACTTTTAGATGTGAAAAAGTCGAGTTTTATCAGTTTGTTGGATTGCAACTCGCTCAGTTTTCACCTGTTTTCTGTTTACATGTTGCATTGTGTTTTTCCCAGTTTTATCACCCTGTTTGTTTTAATTTATACAGTATTTTAAAGAGTCCTGCTGCGTTCTGTACGGCTGTGTGCTCTTTTATTTGTTTTTTTTTTTTTTTTTATTTGCACTTTCTTTGTTTTTTTTCCTTCGTCTGTTTTTATGATTTTTTTCCTCTTCCTCTTTGTTTTCTCATTCTTCTATTTTGTTCTATTTTGTTTTTATTACCCAAGATCCTCATTCACTTCCTCCTGCATCATCACACGTTTTCTGTCCATTTGTCACAGAAACAATCAATAATTCGCCATATTCAATAATTGGTGACATCTCTTAAAATGAATACATTTAGATTTGCACACAATATTTATATGAAAAAAATGTTTTACAGCTTTAATTTGTGGTATGTATTAGAATAAATATATTACACTATAAATATTTATTCGGTGAAGAAAAACTTTTCAACAAAATATTTAAAGTATTTGGCAAAATTGATACCAAAGAACTGTTTGATCTTAAATGAGTTAATTTTGAAAAATAAAAAAAAGATATATACGCATAAATTAGAATATATTTTAATATTGAAAAATTCCTTTAGTTCAGAAACTCGGTTTACTAAATAAAACAATATTTTCAAACCTTTATTTATTAACTGATCATTTTCAGCCTTTTCTCTGACATTTATCATTAAAATATGTTACAATTAAAGAATAAAAAAATTAATGCAGAAACTTAAATTATGTTTTTATTCTTTAAAGATACTTCTAAACTGATAAATGCGCCACATTGATCTTTTATTTTTATTCCATTTAATTAACCAGAGTTGAGAAATGCAACAAAGCAATTTTTAGTGCTATTAGTATTTTTTTTTCCCAAAAAGTTGCTCAATAAATGAGTGTTATGGAAAATACTGTTAAAGTGAAATCACCAGGTGTTTTGGTGATGTTGTGCAAATTGAGGCCAAGCCACATAAAAATGACTCTGAGAAATAAATCAAGACTTTCAGACGGTTATGATTGTCGAAAACAAAGTTCAAGAAATAAATTTTTACATAATTCTGGTTACTATGAGATCTAGAAATGTGGCAGAAATCTCTGAAAAGATAAGAAGGGTGTAAACACTTTGGAAGAAAAACATGGGTGTTTTTTGTACATTTTAGTCAAAAATACAAAAAAAATAATTATATATTCCAGAATAAGGTCATAACCAAAATAGTCTTAACAGAATAAAGTTGTAATATTGGCTTCATTCTCAAAGTATTGACTTTTTTCCAATAATGCTGATCTTATTATCATAATATTATTGTTCAACATGGCCTCAATACTCCATTAAATATACTTTGTAATTATCAGAGGAGTTACATTTTTTGGCATTCCAGCTATCAAGCTTGCATTTTAATTACTGAATAGATTTGATAACTTTGAGCTCCAAGCCTGAACTTTGACTAGGCCACTTAGAAACGGTAACATCATCTCCAGCTTGAAAAAACATTTAAAAACTGAATATTTTCTCCAAACCAAACATGTTAAAGATGTTTTGTGTTTTCCAGATCTGATTAAACAGGAAATGGTAAAGCTTTAAATGTACAAATTTAAGTTAAAATGTATGATATAGACAATCAGAGTTGGGTTTTACTTTTTCTCAAGTAAAAATAAAAACATATTTAAAAGATTTTCTAATCATAATATTTGCTGTTTTGGTTCGTCTACCCATCAAATTATCAGCTTCCTATTTCCAGCAGAGCAGTTTTGGTTTGTGACTGACTGAGACCACAGACAGGTGGGTAATCACACACCTGCAGAGGTACGGCAACCCATCAACTCACATTACGGCAAGTTGTTGACGTGCAAAATGAGAAGGTAAATATTGTAAAATAATCGTCAAAAATCACCAGAATTCCATTTTTAAAAATATAATTTTGCTGCTTTTGTTTTTGTTTTTCAACATGGTATAATTTTATAACTTTTTGGACTTAATTTGCACATCAACACCCTGCAGTAACGAGTAAAAGCAGCAATCAGTTCACTTATGCTCCTATAAATGCTCAGATTTAAACACAGGTCTAAAAATGTGTTAATAGAGAATTCTGATGAATTTGATGGTTTCCATCAGTGAAGTGGGATCGTAAAGTTTACTTTGTAAAACTAGCTTCATGGTGTGATTCCTGTTGCCATGGTCACAATCCAGCATCACATTTTGTCTTTTCTTTGTCTTTGAGCTTTTTAACACTTTTCTGCAAATAATTTTTTAAAAAACCTGTTGAGGTCTGAACATGAGAACGGGCCCCAAATCAAGTTCTGCTTAAGGCCCCGTATGGCTTTGGACCGGCCCTGTGACTACAGAAAAAAGAAAATAAAGCTTTTATTTTATCTTTTGCAGGCATTTCAGCAAAGTATGCACTTATTTTAAGTCAGTAATTCCTTAATATTGATTGTAAAAAGTGCTAATTTCTCTGGCAGATTATTTATGAGACATTGAGTAATAATAATAATAATAATTAATAATAATAATAACAATAATCTGACAGTGGAAATAGAACTGGGTTTCTAGGCACAGTGGAGCTAGTGCTTTTTCATCAACGTTAAGGATTTAAATAATCTCCTATTTCTTACTGATGTTACTTGTAAGTTAATTTTGTCTTATTTAAAGTGCACCAAGATATTTTCACCAGAAACTAAACCAAAAATACTCAGTAAGATTTTGTGTTTTTGAAGTGTGACGACCTTGATCATAAAGTTGCCAATGAATTCAGTTAAAGATTCTGGAGTGATCCGGTTCTGCACTACAGACTGGAGCTTCTTTTCCAAATCACTTTTATTAATTATAAAAGTGAAGTTCATTCATTCCTGTGTTTCTGAACCACCAGAACTTTTAAGGTTTTTTTTTTTTTTTTAGCCCTGTTTCTCTCGTCTCTCCTTCAGTCCAAAGAGCTCCAGATAAAGCGCCAGTTCCAGGACACCTGTAAGATCCAGACCCGGCAGTACAAGGCCCTGCGGAACCACCTGCTGGAGAACACGCCCAAGTCGGAGCACAAGGCGGTTCTGAAGCGGCTGAAGGACGAGCAGACCCGGAAGCTGGCCATCCTGGCCGAGCAGTACGACCACTCCATCAACGACATGCTGTCCACTCAGGCCGTGAGTCGCTTCCCTTCCCACAGAACCCGGCTGGACCGGAGGCGGTTCTTTGGGTTTAGAACACGCAGAGTTTCTGAGAATTTCCACCAAAAACTCTCAGAAATTCTAACATTTCAGAAGTTTTTTTGAAAAATCTTGGACATTTCTGAGCTTGAAAAGTTAAAAAATTATTAGAAACAGATTGAAGATTTTCTAGAAAAAATGTTGAGATTCATCTCAGAAGTTTTCTTGGATTTTTCTGTTTTTTATTTCAGCATTTCAAAAGTCAATTTTTTTTTTTTTACTTTTTGGAGGTTTTCTGAGTTTCAACTCTGAAATTTCCATAATTTTACTTTTTAAAAATCTGAGATTAATTTCAAATTGGAGTTGTTTTTTTTAAATCAAATTTTCAGAATATTTGCTATAAAAGAAAAAAAACACGTTTTCCAAAATAATTTGGAAAAATATTATTTCAGAAGTCAAATGTTTCTCCCAGATTCTTTTTTCTTCTTGTAAATGTGCACACATTAACTTTTTTTCCCATTTTTATTCTTACATTTGTTTCTCACATACTATCGATCTAAATCTGTATTTTTGGCCCCAAATTAAGTCCTGCCCAGGCCCCCATATGATCTTGCACCAGCCCTGTTCAAGGCTGTTTGAAGTAGAACAGATGGATCCCGTTAGATTCCAGTTTAGGGCATCAGTTGGGATTAAATGCCCTGCATTGTAATCTAAACATTTTAATCTGATTCACAATTCAACAGTAAAAAGCAGAAATAAATTTTGTTGGACATTTTCTCCGCCCTGGATCTTTCAGGAGCGCTCACACCTTCATCTTCCTTGTCATTCAGACACAAAAGCTTTGGGTTTTTTCCTGAATAATTTATTGTGAGAGGCTGAAGAGGGGAGGAAACTGTGATTACCTCACATGGCGGCGCGCCATTTAAGCTCAGTAAGCCAAATCCCTGCTGCCCTTGTTTGTGGCTCCAGTCAAGCTGAGCAGAAATATGAATAACCTCTGAGGTCCAAAACATATTTTTATTTACAGAAACACTGCAAGAAGACATAACTTGTGTCTGTTAGTCGTGCAAATCTGGGACAACAGAAAGATTTTAGAGCTTCCAGACTTTCTGACCAATTGCAATATCTGATTGTTATTGGTTGATTTTTAGTAAATTATTATTTATTTTGACTTTAATTTCTTGTTTGGACTCAGCAAAATCCAAAAACTGATTTAACTTTTGGAAAATCTGGATTTGTTTTCCACCAATGAGCTCCTTGGGTTCCTATAGTTCAAGGGCGGCCATTTTGTTTTACAGCTTTTATTTAGCTGGACTTTGAATTCAGCTCATTTCTCCAGACTACATTTTATTTATTGCAAGAATAAACTAATAAGAACATTTAAAGAAAACAGTCGTACGAAAATAAAGTTGAAATAATGAGAATAAAGTCTAAATATTACAAGTTATAATATTAGGAGAATAAAGTTGTAATTTTATAAGGATGCTGATAACATTTAAATGAGGAATGTTTGTGAAATACTTCTAAAATTTATACTTTAAACTTATACTGTGGTATAAGTGTTGCAGATGAAACTTTATCTTTTCATACATCAGCACAGAATATCTTTATTGATCCATTTGAAGAATCCAAATGTGGGTAAAGACATCAAAAAACTACATAAAAACCTCCATCATTTTTTAGATAATATTTTCAAATCAAATTTGAAATACAAGAGGAGAAGACGTCATTCTGCAGTTTTATTTTCCAGTCCATACAGAAGCAAAAATGTTCTAATTTGTTTGTTACAAACTCAAATAGCTGACTGCAGATATAACATGCAAAGTATTATGGGTATTTATCTCCTCATCTGACGGGAATCTTAAATTCTGCAGTTCAGTTTGAAGTTTTGCACTTTTTTTGTTTTTTTGTTTCTGTAAATGTTGCGTTTTCAACCCGACTGTCTCCGTCTTTCCCCTGCTAGCTGCGGCTGGACGAGACGCAGGAGGCGGAGTACAAGGTGCTGCGGATGCAGCTGCAGCAGGAGCTGGAGCTGCTCAACGCCTATCAGAGCAAAATCAAGATCCACACCGACACGCAGCACGAGAGGGAAGTGAAGGACCTGGAGCAGAGGGTGTCCATCCGCCGCGCCCTGCTGGAGCAGAGGGTCAGCCGCACACATCAGCAGACTTTAGACATACATACATTTATTATAGAAAATGACAGACATTCAATTTCTCCTATCAGGTTCAGTCCTTCATCCTCTCTCAGGGTTGCCAGATTGGGTGGGTTTCCCCCCACTTGCGCTGCTTTCGAACACATTTTGTTGGAAAAAACAGGTTTGGGAGGCTTTTAGTATTGATTATAAGATTGTTTAAAAAGGACACATCAATACAATAAACTAAAATTTATTTGAACTCAAAGAGTCGAGTCCTTTGCAGTTCCAGTTGGATCTGGTTCTGGTCAGAATATAATAAAGAAAAATGTTGTAAATTGTCACAAGTCTGTATGCAGTTGATGACAAATGAGACACAAAATTCTGAATATAACCATCCAAATGAATTTCATCAGCGGTTGGGATTTGGGATGGTTTTCTGGAGTTGGGCGAGTTTTACTCTGCGTTTGGGTTCTAAGACCTGGCAACCCTCTTTGCAAACTTTGACAGAATGTAAAAGGTGTTTTTGTTTTCGCAGATCGAGGAGGAGATGTTGTCCCTGCAGAACGAGCGCTCTGAACGCATCCGCACCCTGTTGGAGCGGCAGGCCAGCGAGATCGAGGCCTTCGACTCGGAGAGCCTCCGCCTGGGCTTCAGCAACATGGCGCTGACCGGCGTGCCCGGCGACGCCTACGCCAAGCAGGGCTACTCCAACGCCCAGCCGTCCGGCTCCCGCTCCGCCGGCCACTGGAGCCACGGCGTGCACCAGCAGAACATGTCGTCGCAGCAGCTGTCCCGCCGCAGCCACAACAGCAGCAGCAGCAGCGGCATCGGCAGCGGCGCCAGCGACCGGAGGAGCGAGTCGTCCTCCTCTTCCTCCCACGGTTTAGGGATGGCTCTGGGGCACGGGCGGGACGGCAGGGACATGCACCACTCATCCCGCTCCTCCGCCTCCTCTTCCTCCTCCTCCTCCTCGTCTTCCTCCCACCACCAGCGCCACCACCTGCCGCAGCACTACCACCACCAGAGCACGCCGCAGCTCTACCGGGAGCGGGAGAGAGAGCGGGAGAAGGAGAGGGAGCGGGAGTGGGCCGGAGTGCGAGGCTCCGGCGGTGACCTGGCCCACCCACACCCCCTGCCCTTCTCCCATCACCTCCCGTCTCGCTCCTCCTCCCAGTCCCTGGCCATGCTTCCTCCTCCTCCACCGGCTCCACCCTCCATCTCCGGCCCTTCGTCCTCCTCGTCTTCCTCTTCCTCATCGCAAGGCGGGATATACGGAGGCGGAGGGCTGGCGGTTCGCGGTACCCCCAACCTGATGGCCCTGAGGAACAGCCCCCAGCCGCTGAGGAGGACGGCGTCCGGCGGCGGGCCTGGAGGCGCCGGCGGCAGCGACGGCGTCCTGAGTCGAAGCACCTCGGTCACGTCGCACATCTCCAACGGCTCCCACCTCTCCTACTCTTAGGAGGCTTCAGAGGTGCGGCAGCGATGAAGGTGAAGGTGTCTATCACAGGCTGCGTCTCTATAGATAGTTCCCACAAGACCCGACCAGAAGAAAGTTACCCCAGAAAGCCGCCATATTGGTAGGCAACCGGTCAACAGTAGTTGTGTTTCCATTACAAATGTGGGCACAAATTTGTCGATATTATGGTGATATTTAATAAAACACAATGTCACGACAGCGACGTTTCTCTTAAATATGAAATTACATTAAAATAGACGTTCTAATGACACAGCTTTTTCTGAACTGTGCGATGCAAAAAAGCCCCAAAATAAATCCTCCTCCTACCGCTTTCTGTCGTCGTCTTCAACGTTTCCTCCAGTCATAACATCCAATATTCATCACAAAAGTCGTCTGATGCACAAAATATTTTCATTGCAGTTTTCGAAATACATCTATTTCAATAAAGCAAAAAAAAAGTGTTTCTAGAAACAACCAATCAGAGCTAAGAGGTGGGTCTTAGCATTGTCAATCAAGCTTGTGCGCGGATTCTGTTTTTTTTTTGTTTTTTTTGCCTGATTCTTCTGAGAATCAGAAAATGTCTAAATTGCTTAAGCACCATCTAGATGGAAATCTAGTCTAAAATCTTAATCTACAGGATAAATTTGGGACGGGCTAAAGCTCCAGTTTAGGTGCTTTAGCCTAAACTAGCTAACAAGAAAGAAATCCTGTAACAAGAAAGAAACATTTATAAAATTATTTTCATATTCTAACTACATAATTGACATAGATTTAAGAATGTTTATTTATTTGAATTTTGACAAAGATAGACACCAAATTTTCTTTTGTTTGGCAGAAATGTATTTATCTCCCCATCTGAAATGGCCAATGGCGTCTTACAACTTCATTTCATTTCTTTTTGTTGGCCCTAATCCTCTTCCATAATTACGGTTATTGACTGACATTGTCACAGTTTGCTTAATTTTAGAAACCTTTGAAATTATCCTTACTGCTAATGAAGTGACCAGAAACTTTCTGTTTCCTCTGGATATTAGCCAGCAGCTCTCATTGATGCTTAGCAGCGAACTTTGCTCACATTCACAGGTCGTTTACTGTCTTATCGCCTTTGCTTTTACGCCCTTGAATCAAACGACCACCGTTCTCTTGTGCGCCATCGCTGAATCGGAAAGCTGCTTCCTGTACTATCAAAATGGCGGCGTGGCACCTGGATGTAGGAGGTGTGACGTCATGCGGGAACTATCTATACTCCGTTTGCCACCTTTCTCTGTCTTCTGGACAGATTTCCACTCCTGGAACTGTTGAGATGCAGAACTTTGTGCACAAAAAGCCCCAGAGGTCATGATGAAGGGGCAAACCGGGGTTACCGAGCTGCATCCTGCCTCTTTAGACTCAGGGTGGGTAGACAGGTTTTCTCCCATTCTCACGGATATAACAAGGGGAGGAATGTAACCACCTGTGTCACCACTGGATGACGGTGGTGCTAGACGTTTCTGTTCAGTGTTTTTATCTCTGTCACAGTATGAAAATGTCAGGCAGGATGTGAACGTTTGGCCTTTGCTTCCTCCTGCGGCTGCAGAGGCAGCAGCCGCGTCTCAGGGTTCCTACACAGCCTGGAGATTATTTTTATGGAGATTAGCGATGGAAAGGTTTGGGAACATATGAAGAAATAAGAGTATGGAAAGATATTTGTATTTATTCCATATTCCATTGTTGAATCAAGGTTGCATCATACAATCATCTTCCATTTCTTTCATTTGTTTTCATCCGTTCTTGTTTTCCATTCTTCCTTATTCCTTCTTTCCTCTGTTCATTCATTTCTCTTCCTTCCATTTTTCATTTTTCTTCCGTTCTTCCTTCCACTACTCCTTTCTTCCTCTCTTCATTTAATTGTTTTTCTTCTTGCTTTCCTTCCTTCCTTCCACGTATTAATTTCTGTTGATACTTCTGAGCAGAAACGGACTGAGGACTCTTGAATCTGCGTTGGGATTTAGCTGAACGCTGTGTAGAAACCCTGCTGTCTGTCTTCTTCTATGATGTTCTGTTCTGGAATGGAGAAAGAAAGAAGACACAGGAGGACAAAAAGGAAGATGCTTTTGTTTTGTGTCCAGATGCTGAAATGAAAATCAAAGACGAAATTCAGAAAACATTTTTAAACTGCTGTTATTTTGTTGTTGTTTTTTTGTATTTTTTTTTTTTAACTGTGTAGAAACACAAAAACAATTTGCTTGGAACGTCACCAATGCCTTCACGGGGTTCTTAAAGGGATGTTGTGCCATCCACTTTTTATTGTTGTTGTTATTCTTATTAATATTAATTTATTTAATGACTGAACTGAAAACACAGAATGTTTGTAAAGTAAAGAGACTCTTCCAAAAACGCAGCGTGGACGAGGAACGTGTATAAAAGCAAAGCTTTCTGATGACATACTGAATATCTCAATATAAGTGTCACTCCAGTGCATGACATAGATGTACATAAAATAGAAAAAAACATGATCAAACACATTGAACAGTACTGTATCCGTCCCAGTTTACCGCATTTAGAATCACTTGTCTCAGTTTTTCTTATTTTTAACCTTTTTCTGTAGATATTTATGGTAATATTAAGAACAGAAATCGTTTGGTTTTATAGATGAACAAAGACAATGATAGTAATTTTTTTATATACTCCCAAAGTTGAGCTGCAGCTGCATTTTTTTTCTATAGGTGTCGATATTACCATAACTAATCCTGGTGTAATTGTTGTCGTGATCATGTTCACGTTTTTTCTTGCGAGAAGCAAAAAGGGGCCCACTGTTTACTGTAAGAACATAGAACTATAACAATAGCTGATGAATCTGTTGTCAGGTGTGGTGTGTCTAAGACATCAATGACTATTAATAAGGGGATCGTTAATAACTGTTAATGATTTATGTACGTGTGTCGAGCGGTAAAGTCTAGTTATAATGCCACTTTCTTTTTATAAAAAAAAAAAATTAAGATAAAATGACACTCCAAGCAAGCCACCCCGCCTGACCTCTGACCCCCTTCCTTTGGACTCTCTTTGGAGAAAAACCACAATAAAAATAAAGAATCTATATATATAGATATTTATATATATATAGGCCACTGGAATGTAAACACTGGTTTACTTTTCGTTTTGGTTTCTTGGGTTTTGCGAGGATCAAACTGCCGAAGGATGCAGCATGCAGGCAGTGGACAGAAAGACGGAGGGATGACGGGACGGGCCCCCGACTGAGCTGCTGTGGCCCCCAGAGCCCTCACAGCAGCCCGTCTGAAGCAATCAGTGTTCACGCAAAGGGTTTTATTTACTACTCTGGGCATGATGCTCTTTTTTCTTTTTTTTTTTTTTTTGTTTTTGGAGGAGGAGGAAGATAATCACCCTGCAGTTTGTATGACTCAGAAACACCAGCTCAAGACAACGCCCCTCTGTGTAACACTAATACTTTATGCTCGGTTGGAATCTCAGTGCATGCGTAAACTCCTTGTAAAAACTAAGATTGTGGGCTTTGGGACGGCGTGGACGTCGATGTGGTTGCTTGTTCGCCTCTCGCTTCGGAAAAGGACGACGCAGGCTCATTGGGTCGAGGTGTTTTGGGGGCGTCGGGGGTTTTATGGGGTGGGGAAGGGGTGAGACTAATCACTGGACATAAGCTTGAGGAGGGAACACAAGATGGGATGATGTGTGTCGTTGGAAATGGGAAACAAGGGGTGGATTTAAAAAATGATTTAAAAAAAGATAATAAATTGATATTAACACATTAACTTGGTTTTATGTTTTTCATTTAAAATACACTTTTGACATGTTTTTATTTGTACTTTTGGGCAATAACTTGATGTTTTTTTGGTGTCTGGAAAATGAGCTGTTTCAAAAACTTCCTGATTGGTTGAGTGACATTTGAGGGGCAGTCCATCGTTACCTAGCAACCCAAGTGGAACTCCAGCATATTTGGTCAGCTGGTTGTGGAAATTTCTGACAATCTCAAAATTTCTTTAGGCAGAAATTAGCTTCTTTTTTTTTACAGCCGTAAAACGTAGTATGCGAGTCTGCTTTAGTTTCGCAAAGTTGCTTAAGTAAATATTTGTGCAATATAATCAAAAAGAAGATGGAGTAATAAATTTGCGTTTTCCATTAACACATAGGAAACAGTTTTGAAACAGAGAAATGATTATTGACAACATAAACATGTTACAGTCCAGTTAGTCTGCAATTTTCTTCTGAAGTATTTAGTATGAATTTAAGAATCGTCAAACTAAATTATGACAGTTATTCAGTAAGGGAATTTAAAGTTTAAGGAAAATAGCTCATTTTATAGCCATTTGAACTAATATCAATATGTTAAGCTTTGTAGATTTACATTTTAACAGTGAGAGAAGCATTTTCTTTTCTTTATTTTGGTTTGAATCCTGGGTGAAGGTGTGCAGATTAATCCAGAATTCTGATATTGATTTAACGTTTTGATAATATAGTTGGTATTGGAATGATACGACCATGGTAAGATTTATAGTTTTGTTTTAGATTACCTATTATAAATTTGTTCTGTTCAATAATATCGATACCAAATCTGCATTAGATTGATAACATGGTGAGATTGCTACTTTAGTTTCAGATTCCCTTATAAAATTTTCTTATGGTGTCGTAGTTTCAACTCTACCTCACACAAGATTTTGTTTTAATTTTCTGAAATAAGATTTTATTTAGAAAAAACACAAATTTATTTAATTCTATTGTTTGTTTATCATGTTAATGTTAAAGTATTTTGTGGCTAGCTATGAACACTGTTTGGATTAAAGGTAAAAGCAAAAAACATCTAAATGTATAAAGTTTAAAATATAAAAAAAATATTGGTATCAGTAATAGGGGCCCTGTATTTTGTATCGCAAACCTGAAGTTTTCTTTTTTAATTATGCAAATATGTTAAAATATTTTGGGCACACCTATAAACTTTATCCAAATTGTGTCCTATGTTTTAACAAAATAATTCAAAGAAAAGCCCACGACAGCACCAAAAGGTCAGAAATCTGATATTTCTAACTTAAATAATAATAATAATAATAATAAGCATTGATATTGGTGATGTTGGCCCTGTATTTACTTAGCAGGGACTGATACCAAAATATGCAGTATCACACACCTCTAGTTTATTATGTTAAGATATTAAAGTATTTTGAAGACACCAACAAACTTAATTCAAATTATGTCCAAGATTTGAACAAAATAACTGAATGGACAAAAACACAGAAGCACCTAAAGGTCAGAAATTCAATAATATGAAGTTATTTAGAATTTGTGACATTAATTTTGCATTTACATGTTATCAGATTGACACCAAAATATGCAGCATTGCACCACCAGATTGTGCAGCGATTTTCTTTCAAGGCACTCCGTAGAGATTTCTACAGAAGAGGATGAGGGCCACTGGAAAAAAAGTAAAACAGTTCTGACTTTAATCTCAGAATTCTGACTTTTTTTCCCTCAAAACTCTGAGAAAAAAGAATTCCCAGAATTCTTTTTTTAATTCTGAGAATTCTTTTTTCTCAGAATTCTGAGATAATGTCAGAATTCTGAGAATTAATCTCAGATTAAAATCGGATTTTTTTTTTTTGTTTTCATGATCCTAATCCTCTTCCGCAGTTTGCCTCTCTGGGTGGAGAGCCAAGTTTAAACAGTTGGTAAAATAAAAATGACATCCTGTTGATACTTTCTGGGGGGTTGCAGCTGTAAAGCTAAAGTCGTGATATTTTCATCATAGATCATGTTTTTGTTGTTGTGTTTTATCTCCTGAGCTGCTATTGTGCGGCATCAACAGTCTGACATCATTATTACAGAGCAACTGGGAGGATCTGTGCGCATTGCCCTTTAAAACGTGTCTGTCATCCCTCGGCTAATGGAAAGTCACTCTGCTTGTTTTCCCCGCTGCAGATTTGCTCGGTGCAGCAGCCAGAGAGGTGGGGGGGAGAGAGAGCATTTTCCGTCGGCCGACAATCCAGGAAGGAAGGGGAGAGGACAACGAGGACGGAAATAACAAGGAGGGGGTGTCCAAAAAGGAAACTCTACCCCTTTAAGAGCAAGTGGGACATAGCGGTGCGAGAAAAAGGAGAGGAGGGGGAGAAGAAAGAGGAATTAAAAAAGAAAAGGAAGAAAGAGACAGGGAGGGAGGAGGGAGAGCGGGCGATAAAAAAAGAAAGATGACATCCTCGCAGCTGAACGGCCGAGGTGGAGCGGGAGGCTGCGGCCCGGCGAGAGCGCCGCTCGCCGCGGTCAGGGCTTGAATCCAGCGGCGAGGCTTCGACCGAACCCCGACGGCCTAGCGCGGCTCCGGGAACCGGACACAAATAGACTCATAAATCAAAAACAAGCAAAGCATGACCTGCCGTTTTGACAGATATTACAACTCATATTCGGTCTCTTGCGTGGAAAGCAGAGCATTTATTTCACTGTTTTGTGCGCGACGCTGAAGAGTAAAACTGCAGCGGCTCGGTTTTTAGTATCATTACTGTTTCTGGTTGTTTTCAGGAAACTCCCGTGGGCTGATTTCTGCGTGTTTAGCGAGGTTTGGGGTCATTTGTGTGTCTGTAAAGTATTAAAGTTGAAAGCAGGAGGCAGCAGGCCGATCCTGGACGGGGCCTGCTCCACCTCTGCAGCCTGCGTTGCTCCCACAGCTGCGTGCGTCTCAACCCACAGCTCTACCTCAATGAGAAAACCAGATTTCAGCACACGGCTTTGGCTTTGTTCGCGCTTTACGACAGAACCGGGGAGCCCATCGCTCCCGCTGCGGGCCGGGCCTCCGTCCGCGTCCCGATCGCCACCGGAGGGGCCCATCCGAGCCATGCAAAGGCGGCTCAGGAGCTGACTTCATAATCTCCACCGCTGTCTGTGGCGCAAAATGGATGCTGCTTGGAGCAATTTTCTCTTCCAGGTAGGCTTTGTGCGGGCCTGTTTTGCGTTTTCTCCGCACACGCGGGCCCTGTCTGTGTCATCCCAGCCTCGCTCACATCTTTTTGTTACAACCTCTGCAAGATAAATGCTGTGACTTGTGTTTACATTTGGTGATGGCCTTCTCCTTGCTCCTCCAGAGTACTCCCACCCAAAACCAAGTGGAGGGGAGCCTCCAATCAGAGCTCATGCAAGTGCATACGAGTTCTCCCCAGACCCCACCCACAGAGCACATAGCGCAGCCTCCTTCCACTGTGGACACCACGGCTCTGAGTGAGGAACCCCTGCCTGGTGAGAGACTCTCAGACACACCTGAGTGGGTCCAGGTGGATAAACAGGCAGAGGGAGGGTTGCTCAAAACACTGACAGTTTGAGCTGAGCGCCTTTTATCATGATAGAAATGTGAAGATGTAATTGGGACTACAATTAATGATTATTTTAGGAATTGATTAATCGTTTATCAATTAAAAATGGCGCATTCTGTAAATATATCATTTATCCACTTATGCATTTTTATAGAATCTTATTTTAATTGTAGTTCAGGTTTATGTAGCAATGCTACTAAATTATTTTAGTAATCAGTTAATTATTCTCAGGATTAATCGGCTTAAAATGACACATGCCATAGATTTTTCTTTTAACCAGTTAAAGCATTTTTCCACAATAATTCAAATTCATTTTATTGTCTAAAGTAACTTAAATTAAACAAGCTTTGCTTTAGTAAATCTGAACCTGGTGAAACTAAATCTAGCCACTTGAGGAGTTTAGGATATTTTTATCTTAAAAGCAAAAAGCAAATAGTTTTTGTAGAGTTTTGGTTTATTTACTGAGTATGTTGGGTTGTAATACAATTTTGTTCTCAAGATGTGACTGTTCTCATATTATTTAGACTTTATCCTTGTATGAGCTTATTTGTTCTCACAAATGTATTTATTTATTTTTTCTATGTATGTTCCCAATACTCGGCTGTAGTTTTTTGTTTCAGTTGAATTAAAATGCTAGAAAATGTTGTTTTAAGCAGAATTAGGTCTTTTACTGGTGAACTTCACCTGAAAGGTTGTGACAGACCCTGAGTTTCTCTTGTTCTTCTTCTTCTCTCCCCCCTGGTTCCTCCAGAGCCGGTGAAGCCAGCGCCTCGGCCGGCCCGTGTGCAACACATCTGTGCCATCTGCAACAAGCAGTTCAAGAACAACTACAACCTGCGGCGGCACCAGTCGGTCCACACTGGGGTACGCATGAAGGACAGGGCCAGAGTGCAGGCGGAGGGAGCAAAGGAGGGAACCGCCGGCCAGGTGGTGGCGGCGGCCCCGCCGGCCATGGCGGTGGGGGCCGGAGGGAGGGCGGAGAGGCCCACTGTGCCCCTCTCCCTGCTGCACCTCTCCGTGCCTCCCCCTCTCGCCCCTCCCGGCGTGCTGGCGGGCGCCCAGCAGCCTCCCCTGGGCGGTCAGGATGGCGAAGGGGTTGCCATGCCAAACGTCATGGCTACTGTTAACCCTCATGCTCCGCCTCCTGCTGCTGTCGTCATGGCCACAGGGGCGACAGTACAGGTGGGTCAGGGCCTTGTGAGAGACGGTTGTCGTCAACCCCCGAGCCTTCGAGAGTGTTGTTTCTTAAGCTGCCTTCGTCACGACGATCTTTGAATTCGTCCGCTGTGTTTGATTTCGGGAGAAATCCCTGAGCGCTGATTGGTTGAGGGGCGATTTCAGTCCCCGGTTTAAGAAACAGTTCCCTCGAAGTAGGGCTGGGCGATGTGGCTTACAAATAAAACCTCCAAACAGTGGAAGAAAAGACTTGTTTTCATACCAGAGACTATTTTAACTCTCCTTTTCTAAAAGATTAAGTGGAAAATAGAAAATATTTTAAAAAGTGGCTTTTATTTCAGTCATCTCTTCTGTGAGTTGTATTAAGGAGTATCAGGGCCAAGCTGCAAAAATGTTTGTTTAAAGGAGATCTATCTTACAAAATTCACCTTTTGCATGTTTTCATGCTTCTAAACGTATTTTTTTAAAAAAAAGAATACCCAGCTGTGTTTTGGCAAAAAGTGAATGTTTTTTGGTGTCTGGAAAATGAGCCATTTCAAAAACATTCAACTGGCACTGCACCTGTTACCTAGCAACCCGAGCAGCGCTCCAGCATGTTTGTTCAGCTGGTTTTACCGATGTATTCGCTGTACAATGGCTGCTGGAAAAAACCCAGAAACCACTTGCTGCATTTTTGTTGGTTGTGCAGGAGGCTCCACTTCTGCTTTTCAAACACGTATGGTTGTATAATTGCGAATCTGTTTGCAGTATTTTCACACACCAGTGTAAACGTTGAGTTTGGCAGACCTGACCTGACTGAAATCTCATCATCTCAGAATGATTTTATGCAAAAATATGTTTTGTATCTTCCAATCCTAACCTGTTCAAGGAAGCATAAGGGGTCACCTTTAATTATAAGAATGTAGACTTAATATCAAAATAAAGATGCAATTTTATTAGACAGAAAAAAGTCTTAAAATTACTACATGGTACTTTGAGAAAATGCTACTAGTAATAAAGATCAGATGTGGGCATTTCTTTGCTCAAACGTGTCAAAATCCTACAAACCAAAATGAAATGTTGATTATGTTAAAAGGTTAAGTATATCCATCAAATATTACAAATTATAACTCTACAACATGCTCAATATTCCCCATTTTAATTTATTTTGTGTTGGTGTTCTCATAAAATTCCTACTTTATTCTCCTAATATTGTGACATTTCAACTTTATTGTCGTACAAATTTATTCTCTGACTTTATTTCTGTGATTAAAAAACAAAACCAAACATAGCCTGGCCCTAGTATTCCATCGTAGATTTGATCTGAATTCAACATCTAAAAAAAATACAATAGCATTGACGAGGAAAAAAAATCCAGATTTTGTAAAAATTCAATCTTCGGAAAAATGAGAATTGATGCATCGCCCAGCCCTAGCTCGAAGCCCCACTCCCCCACGCTCCCCTGCATGTTCTCTGTAACACAAACCAGAATTAAAGACGAGCCAGAAGTAATTCTTTGCAACTGCGATCAGCAGATCATTTACCTAACTGGCCGATTATGTGTTTGCATGATTTCATCGTCAAATACTACAAATTCTCTTCCAGTTTGTGGAGAAAAGACTTCAGACCTAAACTCTGTAGCTTGTTTGTTTTTCTCTCAGCGGCCCGCCAATCCCAACCCCAACCCCGTGAAGAAGAACCACGCCTGCGAGACGTGCGGGAAGGCCTTCCGGGACGTCTACCACCTCAACCGGCACCGGCTGTCCCACTCGGACGAGAAGCCCTTCTCCTGCCCCATCTGCCAGCAGCGCTTCAAGAGGAAGGACCGCATGAGCCACCATGTGCGCTCCCACCAGGGCGGCGTGGAGAAACCCTACATCTGTCCTCACTGCGGCAAGGCTTTCTCCAGGTGATGCTGCGCTGCAGCCGCGCGCCGTGGCCACGCCCCCTTCCTGCTCCAACGTGTCTCTCTTATGTCCTGCTGCAGGCCTGACCATCTCAACAGTCACGTCCGGCAGGTGCACTCCTCAGAAAGACCCTTCAAATGTCCGGTATGCATAATTTTTTATTTTTTGCAGTTTTTTATCTTAAAGGTGCATTCACACACCAGTCCTGTTTAGTGCAACACTTGTTTGTTTGTCTAGGAAGTCCGGTTCATTTGGGGAGATGTAAATGCAAAATCGAACTTTGATGCAGACAAAACAGCTCAATTTCTTTTCTGATGATTACGATTGTTTTTATGGCTAATTTTGTTTATAGATACTTCATAATAATTTTTTTATGTTGCTGTTGTTTGGTTTTTCTTTTTCTTTATGGTTGTTTTGTTTTATTTCAGATATTTAAAGTGTTAAGTGCTGTGTTCAATGTATTTGAGAGGGAAAATTATACCATTATTATGTCATTATCAATATATTTAAAATTTCTCAAAATGACAATATTATCATTCATCACAATCATTTTTGGGACAGTATATAAATCAAACCAAATGGAATGGAGCCTAAAATGCCAGGTGTTCTGATTTTTACCAACGATGCTTCATCTCTCATCTGTCTGCAGACTTGTGAGTCGTGTTTTGCCACCAAGGATCGCCTGCGAGCCCACATGATCCGTCACGAGGAGAAAGTGCCGTGCCACATCTGCGGGAAGCTCCTGTCCGCCGCTTACATCACCGATCACATGAGGGTGCACAACCAGTCGCAGCACCACGTCTGCCACCTCTGCAACCGCAGTGAGTGCACACACTTTTTATCAGGAGGCACAAACTTTGAAGTTCATAAATCTAAAGTTCTCTGCAACGGTTCCTTCTCCATTTCATTTTTGGACCATGCAGTTTACCAATCAGTCTCTATTTCTAGTGTGTTTGGTATTTTGTAAAGTCAAAAATTTTCTAAAAACGTTTGACTTTTTTGAAGAGCTCACTCTTCAAAAGAGGAAGAATGAGCTTCTTCTTTGAGAGTGAGTTCAGAAATTTTCTACAAAAAACTTTGACATGTGAAACTCTGTTTCTAATGTCAGCTGCTGCTAGACCGTATTAAATGTAAAACATTTAAAACGTGGCAAGCCTGGGACTATTAGGACAGCAAGGCAAATACTGATGCGGGTCAATTGATGGAATGAAAGGGGAAGTAAATTTGTATCAAAAGATCTTTTGGAAATTTCTGATTTTTTTGAAATGTCAAAAATGTCCAGATTTTTTCTAGAAATTTCAGACCTTCTGAGGTTTCTTTCTAGCAAATGTTCATCTTTTCAAGCTAAGAAATGTCCTTGTTTTTTCTGGAAAATGTCTGACATTAATCTCAATTTCTGAGTTTTTTTTTCTTGAAAAGTTTAGATTTTTGGAGCTCAGAAATGTCCATCTTTTTTCTAGAAAATGTTCCACCATCGACAATGCTCCTAATACACCTTTGAAAAATTCAGATTGATCTAAAAAATGTTTGATATATATATATTTTGTGTGTGTGTGGGAAAATGTACTCTTTTTCTATGTACTTTGAAACCACGACAATGCATGTATATCTACCTAGTAATCATTAAAAATAATTTATTGACATTTTCGTTGTAACTTGTCGCACATGCTGAACAGACAGCTCCTCTTAAAGTCGGACGTCTTAATGCGCATGTGCAGGCATGCGCACTCACTGCATGCACCTGCTCTCCACCAGGCTTCACCACGCTGACGTATCTCCGCGTCCACGCCCAGAAGCACCACGGCCAGGAGTGGAAGGAGAGCCCCGGCGGCTTCGGCGGCACGGCCTCGGGCGGCGTCCTCGTCTGCCACTTGTGCGGCGTCCAGTGTAAGACACCCACCCAGCTCCAGGGCCACATGGGAACCCACAGCACCAGCCAGGCCGCACCGACCCCCGTCACCTCTAACGTGGCCGCCAGCAGCTCCGTCTCCCTTAGCAACATGGTGACGGCGGCGCCCACAGTGTACGTCACCGGGAACACGGTGGTGGACCTGCTCGTCACGGACTGCTCTAGCATCGCGGCGCCGCAGTCCCACAGTTAGCAGGATGGATCAGAAGCGAGTCCCGGGACGGTTACATGTTGATTCTGATCCGGTTTAATGTTTTATTTTCCGTTTTTATTCATGTAGGTATGTCTAAAGAAGAAGTAGGCGTTTCCAAAGAAAGACGTTTCACAAGAGCCACACATGATTGGACAAGCAAAAAAAAACGACCACGCCTGATTGGACGAGTAAAATCAAGTGAAAAATGATTGGTTTAGCAATCAAAGTAGCCGTTTTTCAAGAAGCAAGGCGAAATTAACTTCCGTCATTCGACAATTTTTTTTAAATATCGTTAGCTAACTCATCCGGTATCGGATTCTCACTTATTTAGTCAATTTCACGACCTTGCTGTTATAACAAGGTAGAAGACTTATTAAGCGCTTACATATAATAATGGGAGGGTGATTGTGTTAGCCGGTCGGACATTACCTTGTCTTACTTGAGAACGTCCGGTTACATTTCAAAGTAAAAGCATCAACATAAATCATGTTTTAATAACAAACAAATTTGATTTTTTTAAAGAGATTTTATCAGTAAGTGGGCTAAATTTTGTCTAAATGCAAAATTTGCTTTTACATGAAAATAAATCCGTTTTTGTTATTGAAATAATGTGAAACTGACATAAGTAGCTTAAAACAAATAAATAAAAATACAATTATCATTCAAAAAACAGTGTTACTTAAATTGGCCTTGAGATCTTCTTCAATTTCTTATCTTCTAGTTCAAATTTTAGTTTAGTTTAGTTTAAATTTATTAGGGACAGTGCACATTAATGAACAATCAATACTTCTGTACAGGCTGTAAATGAACCAGATTATAGCATAATTGCTAATTTCCATCTGTAGTCCCAAGACAGGAAGACCTAAACAACCAAAAGACATTATAAACATACAATCAAGAAATCACATTCACAAAAGATACATTAAAAAGTTAATTATAATGAGAACATGTCTGGGAAATTTTAATAAACAAAGCAGTCACCACAGATGAATTATTTCCACATGTTTCTAGAAGACATCTGTTACTGGAACAACTCGATCAGTGTTTGCACTGTAGAAACCTATTCTTTAGAAACGCCTGCTTTGAGTCTGCAGAGAATTCCCCCCTCTCTTTTTATTAGCACTTAGGGGGTAGAGGTGAAATCTTTGAGAGAAAAAACATCTAAAAAGTTTTGCTGCACAGCTGGAGCATCAAAGAAGACATCTTGGAAAGCAGCTGCAGCAGGTTCACCGACACTAATGACAAACATGGATGTGCTGTCCAAATATTTCCGAATGAAGACTCTTAATGAAAGTGTGGTTCTTCCTCTCCACCCTTAAACCCCCTTCTTGTTTTGGCATTGGCTGCTGTCTACTGTACCAAGTACTGTAAATCTCACACCAGCTCTGATCTTACCTCCATGTTAGCAACTACCGAGAATACTGAAAATCCAAAACGGTTTGTGTGGAGACATTTCAGGGGGGAGGAAACAAGAAAAACGTTAGAAGGGAAGTGGTGCGTTTGCGTGTGTGTAAGTTTGAGCTCCTCTCGCATGTTTGTAGTTTTATTTCACAAGACGGAGATGAAAATTTGGTTTTAACGCTAGCTAAATGTCTTTTTGGAGGAGGTAATCAGGAAAGAAGATTCATCTGTAGGGGATGAGTCATCTGTTTCCTAAAGGTACAGAAATAAAAAAAAAAGTTGTTATTCAGGAGCATCAAGCACCTTAAAGCTGTCGGACTCAGTAAGGATGGAGGTTTGAGTTTTCTCGGATTGTTTTGCTCTGAGTCTTCCTCTCTGGGTCTGGCCTTCACAGAAAAAAAAACTGCTAATCAGCACTTCGGCTTCTGAACTACCTTTTTGCATGAAAACAAAATAAACCAAGCAAGCTCGGCCATGTTTATTGTTATAAAACTGTCATGACGAGAATAAAATTTAGCAGTTCCACTAAGTTAGTTAGCTGTAGACAATAATATTTATGAAAAAGTTGATTTTACTCTGAATTTTTTCACATAGATTGCCATTCATTTGATTGCAGCTGTCATTGCCATAGTCCTTTTTTTTATTTCATTTTCTCTGTGTTCCAGTCCAATGGGTGAAACTTTTTTTTTTAGATTTAGTCTTTTAACTTTCTGCATAGCACTTGTTTTCTGCATCAGTCGTGTAATGAATGGTCAGTTGTTTCGTTGCGTGGAAAGGGCTTAAAAAGTCACTTTAAGTGGAGGGAAAAAAGGACTTTAACAGTCGACGAGTGCAGTTTGTTTTGTGTTCATTTCTTACCTTGAAATCTGTAGTTGTTTCTTTGAAAATGTGTTTTTCCTGTTGAGAAACATAGTGATTTATTGCAAATTAATTTTAGTTTTTCTCCATTACACTAAAAAAATAATAATGATGATACCTCTACTTTAGGCTTCTGTACAGCTCTTGTGATACATCTTTAATGCCTTATCGTACTCAACTGCATTTTAATTCTTTTATGACAAAATATTTCAAATCTTAGTCATGGATTCATTAAGAATATTAAGGGGATGTATTTATATTTATATTTTTATATTTCTCAACAGTATGCATGTCTAAAAAGTTGTTAGAGCAAAAAAAAAATCGATACTTATTACAGTCATTGTTTTTGTTGTTTTATTTTTTTGTAGATCAAGTAGAGATCATGTTATTTTATAATTTGGACAGTTTAAAGTAAAAATATTAAACAAGAATAACTGTTTGGACTGTTTTTCCTTCATGTTAGTTAGACTGAAAACTTAATGTCCCAAAGAAGATTCTAATAAGAAACACAAACAACTTTTAGAAGGAAAACATCAATTTCAAACATTGCTTTATATAGCCAGGATGAAGCGATTGGGATCGATCGTGATGAATTGATAATTGAAACAACTACTTTACTAATCAATTAACTGGAGTGTAGTCTCAAACCTATACAAATAATATATACATTCTGAATTTCTGTCCCAAGAAGGAAACTGTCCATTTACGTGACGATCCCGCTTTATGCAAAATGACCAGGGTTGAATGGAGTCGGGCTGGGCCAGGCCGAACCCTGCAGTGCAAAAAGGGCTATCGTGGCATGGAAGTGATCCATGCCACTGAACCGCCATCTTGGTAGGCAAGAGCAGCTCAAAGCTTTGAAACCAACAAAAAGAAACTAGAGTACTAAAAAACTGTGATTGATTACAAGTTATGATGTACTTATGTTGTTTATTAATTAGATAGGAATGAGTTGAGCTAGTTCTAAACTTTTGGCTTGTTTATAATGGTCAAAGCAGTTCCATAGCAACTGCCATGATGACTACCAAGATGGCTGCTTGCCACAAAGTTCCCAAAAGTGTGACATCACATGACAACTATGTATTCTTGCATTAAAATGTTTATTATAATTTTTTAAAAAAGAGTTTGATTATTTTTTCATATTCACATTTTAATTAATTTTCAAATATACAAAAAAACTTAAATTGTTCAATGAAAAGCCTTTTCTAATCCAGTTACTCGACCAATCGTCTGAATAATCGCAGGCACAGCTGTAGTCGGAAAGCGCTGCAGCGTTTATAAACGCTTCGAGCACAAGAAACTTCCTCTTTAACACATGCTTACATAATTAAAAAATAAATCAATAACAGGGTTATTTGTGCCCGAATATAACGGCTAACTGCTTCCTTTGGGAACTAATTGAATTTTGCAAACAGATTTTCCCTCCAGTCTATTCAACATGTCTCTAGGTTCCTACATAAAAACGCAGATGTGTGACTGGTGCACGTTTCTCGCCATAGACCTGTAGGAACTGGCTGCTGGTGCAGCAGTGTTGAGTCAACGCTGCATCTGGGAGGCTGAGGCAGCAGCAGCAACAGCAGCAGCATCTCTAGTGTGATGTGGCGAGACAGCGAGGGGATGACATAGCGACAGCATCCGCTCACCGTACCGCTGCATCGGAGCGCAGCTTCCTCTTTAAGTCGGGTTTAACGTGTTTCCGTTAGATAACACCGAGTGTTTGCGCCGCCTGGTTCTCGCATCAGTTGCCGTCGGGCTAACCTCGCGAAGATTTTGATCAAAGTTGCTGCTAGCTCGTGTTAGCTCGCCGCTACCCTTCAAACATTCAAGCGGCCACATAAAACATGCGGAGCATCGAGGCCGAGACCCCTGGGATATCTTTAAACGCTTCCCGCAGGACACGACCTTCGGCTGGACGCTGACTGGACTCTGCAGAGCCGCTGTGTAAATGTTTCATATTTATTCAGAACATGCTCACAACTCCCGATGTGCTAGCGAGGGCAATTGGCTTAACTGCGGCAGCTGGCTGCTACAAACAAACAACAAGCTAATAAAGAACATTTAAACGCCAATATATCATCTGTAGTTAAATAAACATTCAAATAGATGCATCTGGATATATGAGTTATTTTTATTAAAACAACCTCGGCTGTTTGCATTCATGGGTCCCCCAATAACATCACGGCTAACTCGGCTAATCGCTAACGGTCGTAGCGTCGTCATTGTTAGCAGGTGATTCAACAGCGCAGACAGTCGGTCATTTTAACGTCAACCGGTTCGTTATGTTGATGACAGAGCATGCTTCCTGATATTCTCAATAAAATGTCAGTGTTTGTTTTTATTTAATTAACGTGTTGCTGACTTGTTCGTGTCCTTCTGGCGCAGGTTAGCCTCACTAGCTGGTCAATTTGTTTAAAAAGAACGAGCCGTTAGCTAAGTTAGCGTAACTCCGTGAGTTTTTATCTGCCTTTTTTATACTCCCATTTTGGTTCAGTAGCTCCCCCACCCATAAAACATATTAAAATAAAAATCTAGTTATGCCCGACGCGCGTTGACGTGTTAGCAGTTTTAATTTGTGGATAAGCTTCACCTCCCAGACAGGTGACACTAACTAACGGGCTTCCTGCAGGAACAATGAGCTCCAGCTCCCTCATCTAATGTCAACATTTTTCCACAATAAAAAAAAAAAAAAAATAGCGCATTGCGCATTTTGCTAATGGACTTGAACTTTTTCGTTTTTAATGAGTCAGCCAGTGTAGTGTAAGTAAACTGCAATATTTGTAATGGGGTGGATAGGAAGCTGGTAAATGCTCCCAGTGGTATCAGGTGGATGATGGAGGAAGATGCAGAGACTTTATTATTTTACATTTATGTCACCGAGCTGCTGTATTTTTAATCTGATAGGCGAAACTACTATTTTCACTTCAAATTCTGTTGATTTTTGGTCAATAAAAAGAAAAAAGTGTTAAAGTATACTCAGGTTTAGGTCAGGATTCAACATAAATCAAACATTGTTGACATTAATTTATGTATTTGAATGTATACATTTCATTTAACTGTAGAACATTTTACTAACATTAAAAGCTGAACGATTTCTTCAATTAGAGGGAAGAAAAAAACTGAAGGAATAATTTTTATATCAGGCAAATATTTTTGAAGCTTTTCATTGTTTTTAAATCTTGAGAGATGTGATAACTTTTGTTTGATACTGTTTTTTACTATTGTCTTGATATGGAAATCTTACTTCATGCTTTTGTTTCATCTCGTGGAGAAAACCGATGGCAGTCTACAGAATGCTAATGCAGGGCTGATAGTCCTCCATACTTTCTTTTTTTTCTCTGGTTTACATACATTCAACTCTGTTATTTTAGCAAGTTGACCTCAGGCCTTTTGCAGCAACCAATGTAATATTCTGCCTTTCTTCTTGGCACAAAGGGTAGAGTTTATTCAACTCAATTGGTTTTTTCCAGTGACGTGGCAAAATAATCACAAGCACACACAGTCTTGGCCAATAATTCATATTCTGACATTTGTAAGCTTAGTCCACATGTTTTCAGCACTCGTCAGGTGAGATCCTTTCAAGAAGCCTTGTGACATCCTGTTTATCTGAAAAGCAGTTTTCAGATAAACTGGTTTTCAGATAAACGTTTGGGATTATTGTTCTGTCAGAATACATCCATTTTGAGATGTTGGAGTTGGGGACAGGATTATTATTTTATGGTTCTGCATCATCAGGCCTCCTTTTTCTGTGATCATAGTTCAGATGTTCTTTGAGCTTTTGAGATGCTAATTAGCTCCTCCCATTGTAAAATCGCTCCTGATGTGACAATAGTTTTTAATTTTTTTGCCATTGTTACTCTCATCTTGTGACCTTGCAAGCTGTCGTTCTGTTCTGCTGTTTTTAGGTTCTTCAGTTTTATTCCTGTTGTATTGGGCTACTGCCAACTGGCAATATGGTAACAGAGACTTAATACAACTGAATAATTTATGATCGACCTTAGGGTTAACATTTCCTTAGCTCAGCATGTTTCACAATTTCAAAATCAGTGTTTTTCTTAAAACAATTTTCAGATGTTTTAAAAAACTGTCAGAATTTAAGATTTGTCTGTTTTCCCACATCATGCTAGGTTTTGGGAATTTTGTTTGTTAGTATGAACCCACTTATGTCAGTACCTGCTTTATTATGCTTTAATATTTAAACCTTGAAAAAAACCCTCTAAATTAGGCTTGTCTGAAAACCAGCAGCACTGATTTCTTCTGGCTGTAGCCACAATTTACTCCAAAAATATAGAACACTTGCAGAATATTGACGTTTTTATCGATTAAATAATCCTTTTTGGTAATATAATGCAGACCTATATTTCTGTGTGTCCCTGAACGTCTCATCAGGGAGGTTAGCTTAATGTACAGCCACGTGTGTTGGACTATGATAGCGTGTTCCTTTCTCTTATCTTTTGAGCACAGCCAGTTGTAAACACTTGGGGTTTGTTTTTTTTGCGAGCGATTGGTGTTCACTCTCATCCTCTGTGTGTTTTTCAGAGAGGACAGAGAGCGACAGATCACAAGGACCAGATTGTCTGCCGAACTTCTTGCCTCCTAAGACAGATCGCCAGGGACCATGCTGACCATCTTGGCTGCTGGGTCTGTGTTCTTTCCAGGCCTTTTCCTTCTGTCCAAACAATGCCTGAAGTCACTGAGATGGAGCGAAGGAGATGCGGTTATCGTATCGGCCAGGTCGGGCTTCCGCAAAACTTTCCAACACGTTTATGTGTAATGTGGTAACTGTGATCACTGTTCTTCCTGAACATTACTTTTGTTTAGAGGCTGCTTAAAATTAAAATCTGATGTGATTCTTTCTTTGAAATTGTTTGCTCAATCATTTCAAAGCAAATTATAGTCCTCCATAAAACCAGTCAGTTGCTGTTCTACAATAATTGAATACATTATTTGAAAGTGGTACTTCTGAATATTTAGTACCCAACCCAATCTAATACTTTAAGTTTTTTTAATTCTGCACCTAATAATTAAAAAACTAACGCTACAACGAAAGCTAAACAGTACTTGACGAATACTAACATAGCAAACTGAATAAGACAAAATTTCACAATAAAATAAAACTGAAGTTTTATTTAGTTTTATAAATAAAACTAAATATCCCCTTAAACCAGGGGTGTTGAACTCATTTTCATTTTGCGCCAAATCAAAAATCTGAATGTTCTTAAAAGGTAGGATGGGTAGAATGTATTAAGCATTCAGAAAGTGTTTCTTAAAATTAAATAATAGTGAAAATCTTTTTACACTGGTCAGTCCCTCCAGATTTTTGTGATTCTTTTCGTTTTATTGCAATCAAAATAACAGATTTTTGTGGTGCTAATTTAGAAATTTTTGCAAGGAAGTTTTAGATTTGTGCTTATGTATGTATGCTAAATGTGACTTTTTATTAATTGCTGCATCGATCACAGACTATAACATCAAGTAAGGCTGAGGCAGCAGTCACTTAAATCCAATGTTTTTGGCCAATTTTGAGAAAAATTAGCAGTGAAATCAGAAAAAAATGTGGGGATCTGTTGACTGGATGAATTTTGCGAATTTGTGAAAAACCGGGGACTCATTGACGTAATCTGGAGTCTCGAGGGCCAGATAAAAACCTCTGGCGGGCCAGATTTGGCCCCGGGGCCTCGAGTTCGACACATGCTCTAAACTATTACATCCCTGGTTATAACAAAAAGAAATGCAGGGGAAAAATAAACAACTTTTTTGATTTATTTTTTGTTTTTCCGTTCTGAACTCAGGTTGGTGTCATCGGTTCAGGCAGTCATGGCTTCTTCAGCTGGCTACATCATTGCATCTTCCTGTAAGGACATAATTGAAGACCAGTAAGTTGTACGGCTGATAGTAATAATAATAATATTAATAATATCACATCAACTTTCAATAAAATCTGTGCCTTGATGTAAAAACTGTCATCTCTTCCTGTGTGCGCAGGCACTGGCTCACAAGCACCTACATCATGTTTGCTGTCCCCTACTTCGTCTACGACATCTACGCCATGTTCATGTGCTACTGGTACAAGCTGCGGGTGAAAGGTCACGAGGAGGCCTTGGCGGCCCCCCAACACATGCGCTCAGCAGTGAGGAGCTACCTGCGTCGCGAGTTCCTCATGGTGCTGCACCACGTTGTGATGGTCACCGTCTGCTTCCCCGTGTCTGTGGTAACTGTCATGTCGCTCTTTCTGTTGCGCAAAGGAAAACTGAAATTGCAGAGATGGGGAGTAACTGGTTACATTTAGTTTAATAAATTCTTTCAAAAAAATTATTTTTAGGATTAATTTTACTTAGTAATTTTGTTTCTCTATAATGTATTTTGCCTGGTTTTGTTATATGAATTATTGTCATTTTCTTCCTTAAAATACCAACATTTCCACTTCGCTTTACATTTTGGTCCATCTGATGATGTATTTTTTAAATATTAAATGATTGGTAATTCCCAGTTACTCAGTACTTCAGTAGACTTTTTACCAAATACTTTTTTACTCTCGAGTAAAAATATGTCCACCAATACTGCCCCCCTGTGGCAGGGATACAAGTTATTGATGAATGAGTTAATACAAAGCTGATCACATTGATCGACTTACTACCAACTAAGCAGCCATTTTCTTAGTTTTCTTATGTATTGTTTCTAGGGATGCGAGCTATTAATGCGTTAATCTAAAGTTGATTCATCTTTTCAATTGACTAATAATTAATTCCCGTCATTATTTGGCCGCCATCTTTAATCCTGTATCTATGGCTCCGCTTCAGGATGACCAGCGGCGCCCTCCGCTGGATGGTGGCCAAACTACAACACTATAAAAGGTTCAAGAGGACATTATTAGTTAATCGATCGGAACTAATTTCAATCTAATTAGCTATTAATTAATATTGCATCCCTTTTTGTTATTATAAAACAAGTAACAACATATTCTAAATGTAATTGAATTTGTTATTGAAGTATTAAATGTTTTGTTTTTCCAGTTTTGGCGACAAGGAAAGGGCGACTATTTCCAGGGCATAATGTTCATGGCGGAGCTCAGCACTCCATCTGTCTGCTTAGGAAAAATCCTCATCCAGGTGAGTGTTGATGTTCAGACAAATCCAGATCATCATCACAGGTGCATGGCACTGACTAAATGTCTTAATTTACACTTTTATTTCTCTTTTTTAATTCATTGGAGGGCGTATATTTCCGGTCATTCCCAGCATGCAGCTTGTTCATGCTGTCAGATGTTTACAAACAGACTGTTAAATGTCACTCTTTAATTGCTGACAGTGTGCTTGGATACACATTGTATGAATTGCAACACATCTGCATCTATTCAGGTTTGTGTTTATGTGTTTGCAATGTTTCAGTGTCTGTTTGGAGGTCAGCCCAGTGGAGCGATTAGACCCAAGCATTCAGCTTATGTTTTAGGTGCTTTCGGACCATGTTGCTGTTTTTGATATTTTGCAAAATCAATACATTTGTGTCTTTTTTTCTTTTGTTTTTGCACTGCTGGAGGTTTTACAAAGTGGCTTTTATTTTGCTTTAATTTTCTGTTTAAGAGTCGATACTTTAATAAACCATCCAATTCAATCAAATACTGAGATTGTTTTAGGCAAAATATTGTCCAGCTAAACAAATTCACACAGAACCCTGAATAACCTATTTAGACAGTTTATTAACAATTACAAAGTTGATTTGGGTGTTGATTACATTTTAAAAAGTAATCATCAAAGGCAGAGATATTTAATCATATTTTAACATTTTAATTGATTAATGTATCATTTGTTGTTGATGCTACAAATGGTCCTTTTAAGGACATTTAAGATCATAATATAGTTGGAAAAACCACAACCAGAAAAGTTTACATCAAACAAAATGAAAGAAGGAGTCAAAGTGCTAAAAATTGCAGGCCATTTAGCATTTTGTTGAAGAGGCTTTATTAGAATTAATGTTGTTAATGTCTTCCTCGTTTGGGCGGAAAATGTTGTTTTCTGTTTCAACCTTTACAAATGGAGACGAGGAACAGAAAAAATTAGTCTGCAAATTTCATGAAAAAAATTTATGGGAAGCGTAAAGAAGACAAATCATTTTTAATCCTGTAGTTTAGGTCAATGGTTACATTAGTAAAACCTGCAGTAGCAGAACCACAGCGCCCCCTGGCAGTGCAAAATGAAACCACAGAAAAAGAACAAATGGTATTAAAAGCTCCGCATTACATCAGGCGATTTTCTTCATGACTAAACAACAAAACAGAAATGTTGGGTTTGAAAACACCTAAAGTGAGAAAGTTATAAAAACTAAAAAAACATCCACCTTCCTCCTGTAGACACCAATCAGCTTTTGACCAGAAATATATATCCTTGTGCCCTCCTGCCATCCCCTAATCACTCTGAGCAAATAGAGTAAAACCTAACAGTGTTAGAATGACGGATATAACGTTCAGATTATTAACCTTGTCGGCTTGTACCTTTTGCATTTCCTTTCTCCCTCTGTGTTTTTTCCACTCTCAGTACAAACAGCAACACACTCTGCTGCACAAAGTGAATGGGGCTCTTATGCTGGTCACTTTTTTCATCTTTCGAGTCCTACTCTTCCCTTACCTCTACTACGTCTATGGAAGGTATGTCTCTCTTTTTCCTTCTCCGTTCTGTCGTCTGAGCTGGCGGTCACCAACCTGCACAGCGACCGATCTGAAACCGCAGTCAGAAGTTTACCGGGCTCATCATCGGCATGAAGGTCACTGATTTGGAGATTCTAGTCATTTATTTAGACAAGCGTTTTTCAAGGCAAAACAACCACAGAGGAGGATTAAGGCCTCTGAAAACAAAATTGAAATTCATTGAATTCTGACTTTTGTCAGAAAAAAAAAAGTCTGAAAATTTCTTTGAATTTCAGAAGTCAGACTTCAATCTTTTTTTCCCCTCAGAATTATGACTTTTGGTCTCATAAGATTTAAGTCAGAATTATGAGTAAAAACATTGGATGTTGGATTAATCAAAACAAGAAATATTAGAGAAATAAAAAATAATTATGCAAATCAGAAAATAACTGTTAAGATTTTTTTTAAATTAAAAATGTTTTTTTTTTTGTCTTAAATGTATCCATTTTAATGTGTCTCTATTTGTTTATTTTATTTTTTTTTATTGTTTGTTCTCTTCATAAACCTTTAGAGTATTTTCGTTCATGGTCAACAACACTGCAAATCTAACGTTTTTACCTCTACATGTAAGAACTCTTCGGCGCCCTCTGGTGGCTTGGAGGCACAATACATAGCAGCGTCAAACTCTTTAAATGAGGGTTGAATTTATGTTTTTGTTAATCAATACTTCTGTGTTTTAGTTTGCAGTGTTTGTTTTGTGTGCACTAATTGATGAATGAACAATAAAGACTAAACATTAAAGCCAAAAGTCTTTCTGACCGTTCATGCCTATGATGAGTTCATCTCAGGCTCTTCTGACCGCATTTTGCATCTTAAAATAAAGCAGAACGCTAAGGTTCTGCTTCTGTCTCTCTCATTTGGGTTCAGGTACGCGTCGATCCCCTTCCACATGGTTCCCCTGACAGTACCCTGGCACTGTAACGTCGGCGCCGCCCTTCTCATGGCGCCCCAGCTCTACTGGTTCTCCCTCATCTGCCGGGGGGCTCTGCGATTATTCACCGGCTCGTCGCGCTCCCGGCGGCCGCGCGCGCCCTCCGCCGACGACAAGGAGCATCAGGGGGACGGCAACGCGCTGCCGCAGCCCTCTAACGGCTACAATGCGCGTTCCACAGAGCCAGAGCTGACCACTCACTGAGAGGAGGAGGCAGGAGGAGAAGCGGCGGCGTGGGGGGGAGGAAAGCGAATGTACCAATGAGTATGTAAACAGAAAGGAGAGTAAAAAGTAAACCTAAAATCACGCTGAAGTGTTTCAGAGGCAGCAAACGGCTAAAACGAAGCGGTGGCTGACCTTCAAGTACTTCAGCTTGGTAGTTTGTAGGAACCAAATGGAGCTTTAGGGCACCTTAGTATTTAAGATGTCATCAGGCACTGTGACGGATAGGAACATGCACTGACCCGGGAGGAGCCTGCCTGGATATTTAGCAAGTGTAGGTGGCCATTTCCCCTCACGTAGATCAAATACAGTCCTCGCTGCCTCGTATTATAGGAAGAGCAGGAAAATAGGAATGTATTATATTGTATGTTAGTATGTTTGCTGTAGGTGAAAGGCCTGATTCAGTTTAGTAACGAAGAAGACCTTCAAAAAATAACAAAAAAGGAAAAAAAAAACCCAGCTAAGCAGTATTTTGACTTGTTAGTGTTTATCTGTATCCTCTATGTAGTCACTGTCACTCTAACAAAATGTAACCAACCTGCAGACTGACTCATCTTTAAAGGGAGATACGTCATTATACTGTATTCTGCTGCCTTACCCCCCACTCTTCCAGGTTCATTTGCGATTTTAGTTTAGTCTCTGAGACGGAATAAAAGCGTTCGTCAGACAGCAAAATGTGACGGTTGTACATAGCAAGCAGATGTAAAATGGTCTTTTCCGTGTCAGTATTATGTGAAGGAGGAAAAGATTTAATTTAATTTATTTATTTTTATTTGGCTGCACGTTAGCACTGCTGTTGTGAGAACAATGGAATGGGAACTCTGCTCAGATGAAGATTAAAACCAATATGTCAAGGCAGTTGTAAGAGCTGGAACATATTCATCTTTAATTTAACAAAATGTTTTTAAAAAATCCTTATCCCCACAATAAAAGAAAATAAACATATCATTTTAAATCCAAAATAAAATCTGCCGTCTTAAAGAAAATTATTTATTTTAAAACATCTTCACCTTAAAATATGAAAGTTTACAATTAGAAAAAAGTTTTGTTCTGTGTGTTTAAAAAAGATGTTTTGGTTTTGGATGAAATTTGTTCTACAGCCATGAAATTTATTTGCAAAAAAAGGGAAGAAATCTATTTCATTATAGCAGCGGCGTCCATTTTTAGGCCTTACATATTTTTACTAGATGGAAAAAAAACAGTAGGTAAATTTCTCCCAAAAATATTAGAAATTTTGAGATCAATTACCTTTCCTTAGTTTTTAGACAAATGAAGAAAATTTCTGAGGCCCCAAAGTTAATAATTTTCTAGAATAAAGAAAAAAGCTCCAAATTTAGAAAAATTTCTAAGGAGAATGTCGGAATTTTCTGAGTTTCTAAATTCTAAATGTTTTTTTTTTTTTTTACTTTGAAAACTCAGAACATTTTTTAAAATTTGACAATTTCTGACTAATTAATCTAAAAACGTAATGCATCTAATACTTTTATGTGGCCTGATTTAAATGTTTGAAGCTGCAGGGCTGTCTGCCTCCAAGCCACCAGGGGGCCCCAAAGAGTCTTGGAATATAGATATCAAAACTTTACATTTGCAGTGTTGTTGACCAAGAATGAATATATTCTTAATGACAGCTTTAAAATAGTTACAGATATCACCACTACTAATTTACTGTTATTTAAATGTAGAAAAGCGATAAAGGATAAATGTTAGAGCCAAGCATGAAAACATCATTTAATTGCTGAAACTCGCGAAGTGAAATCAGCGCTGGCTGGTGTGTGACGAGCTCAGCTGGAACGGGCCCCCAAATCAAGTTCAGCTTTGGGCCCCGTTCAGTTTTGATTGATGCTTAGCATTAATTTATCTCTTTCAGTAGAAAAACAATTCTGCTTTTCTTTCTGTTTTATCCCAAAACCTGAGTAAAATTCCCCATTCCGTGTTTAACTACAACAGCCTAATATGTTCTCACATATTTTAGCACCTGATTATTATTATTATTACACAGATTTATTGAATAGTAATCATCAAGCAGTTGGTTTTACAGCTTAGTGTGTGCAAATGTCCCAGAAAGGTTTTAGCTGTGCTTCTTGTTTCCGTGTAGTTTTACTGTCATTCCATTCACTGGTGTCACATTTAAATCCCATTTTGCCACAAACAGATACACACTTCCTGCTTCTTCTTCTTTTTTTGTCTTCATAAGTTCGGTGCTGCTGTTGATCTTAAATTATCCGTTTTCTTGGCAGGACTATTTCACAAAGGGATTCACGAGATTTCAGTATTTTAAAATCTTAGTCAAGAGACTTTATGTGTGAAGGGAAACAAGAATGGAGAGTTACCTCACGGGGACTGACACGCAGCACATCTGTCCTTATTTTCTTCTGTTTGTTTCGGGGTTTTTTTTTGTTTTTTGTCTTTTCAGACTTGGTGGAACGCCCCCGATCATTGAGCCTCTGGTTCCATGAACCACCTATGAACAAACTGGCTTCTTTTACCACTTTATGTTGCTGTAATGCAGCTACAGCGTCCTGTGAATTGGTTTAAAGAAAAAAAAAGAAAAACACAAATCAAAGCGTGAAACGATGGGGCGTGCCGAAGCAGTGGGACCCCTGTTGGCATGTCGAACACTGAATATTCATTCCCCCCGTTCCGTGGATCCATAAAGGTACCGCTTCTTGACAATATTGGAACATTTCAAACTGCTGTACTGTATATTCCACAAATGCTTGTTATTTATTTGTAAGTATTTATTTATTTATTTATTTGGTTTGTGAATTTGAATGCATACTTATGCATACATATACTCTATGCTTCTGAGCCTTATGTGAAGGCTGTATTGTTACTCGAACTTAGCTAAAATATACTTCTTTCTGTCCTGAGCCTGTCTGGAGTCGTTTCTTCTTCTTATGTTTTGGCACTTTTGACATCCAGTAAATCTTCCCTGATCATTAGTATGATCATTAGTAGGGCTGTAACTAATAATTTTTTAGATTATGAATTAAAAAATAATAAAAATTGGCACATTCTGCAAAATTTTCATTTAATCTCTTAATACAATATTAGAAATACATTAATAAGCAAACAACTTTTTTATCAGTCTTCATTGAAAATGCTTTTTTTTAGATAAGGTTTCAAATTTATGTAATTTTCGGCTGCAACTGGCGATTATTTTTGTAACCATTTATTCTGACAGTTGATTAAACTGATAAAAATATTGGCACCTTGTATAAGCAAGCTTAAATTCTTAAAGCTTGTTTGTACAATGTTAGAAATACATAAAAAGATGCTAACAAATAATTTCTTGTGTGTCCAGGGTGTGTGGTGTACAGGCGAGGTAAAGGGAACTTTCGCAAATTTGGCTGGAATAAAACAAAAAGATGGCTACTTAGTAACTCCGGTGAGCTGCTTTTCATTTGCAGATAGAAAATGACACCAAATCGAAGACAATTTACGTTGACCCACCACTTTTACAAATCAGGCTGTCCAGATTATTTTAATCATCTGGAAAATACAAATAACATTCACCTGAAATCTTCATTCTGGTTACAGTAAGTCAGAAAACGATTGAAAATGTTTATTATTGTCATACAAAACACTCAAAAAACCCATACAAAACTTTGTACATTAGAAATTATCCCGTTTCCTGAGAGCCTGGAGGAGCTCTTGGTGAAGTCTTCCTCAGCGAATGGGTCAGTATCTCCTCTGTCTCGGGGAGAAGATGGTGTTGGGGTTGCTGTCTCTTTCCCTCTCCTTCTCTCGCTCCTTCTGGCTGTTCGGGGAGAGCGCCTCCTCCAGCTTCTTCTCGCTCTTGAACAGGTCTCGCCCCGTGCGCAAAATGTGCTCCTCGATTTTCCGGTGACGCTTCATGTCCGACAGCACTTTGTCCAGGCGAGCTTCTCGCTTTACAGAGGACCGACCGGAAGATCCTACAAGAGAAAAAAGGGCAAAACTGGTTATTTTCTCAAATGACTGTTTTTCTCGTCTTTGCTGTGGATCTTTTCTTTTCACCTGGCGTTCTGCGTCTGCTGAGGAACGAGTTTTTCGGTGTGCTTTGCATTTGTTCCTCATCAAAATCGAACTCAGTTGGAGTTGGAGGCCTGAAAAAATGAAAAACATTTAATTGCTGAACATCCATTTTCTTAAAAACTTGAGTATTGTTTTGCTGATCATCTTTCCATAACAGTAAAGACAAAATTTCAACCAATGCTGAATTTAAAAACACCATAATTATTTTGTGCTAGCTGTATCAAACACTGATTGAATAAACAAAGTTGAAGTTTTCTCACATTATTAAACTTTTACATATTTATGCAATATGATAAAACAGTTTTTCTATTATACTTTCTGCTTGTCTGTCATCGAATCAATAGTTGACTTTCAGTATTTTTTCCGCAATACAGCGCAACTAAATTAGCGGTACTAAATAATTTCAGCAGCTTGTCGAGTATTTATATTTTAAAACAACTTGAGGAACTTCTTAAGAGTTTATATTTCAAAAAAACAACACCATAAAGGACATTTTGCCTCCAAAACGCCCTTTTGAATCCTTTTTATTTTTCCTTGTTTATGGCCGCCATCTTTGATTCTGTTTGCTTGACCAGTGGCGCCCTCTGCTGGATGGCGGCCAAACTACAACACTGAAAGATGATCTAAGCGGTTATTAGTTACTTGATCTTTACTAATTTTGATTTAACAAATCATTAGTCAACAATTGATTGATTGCATCGCCACAAGAAGTAACCCATCTGATGTAACAGGAAGCAGAGGTAGTACTAACTTCCGCTCTCTCTCCAGCCTCTCTCTTTCCCTTTCCGCTTCTTCTTCATCGTTCCTCTCAGGCGTCGGGGTGCGTTCCGGTGTTGGAGGCCGTCTGGGGAGGGGCACAAAGTTCAGCTCCAGCATCTCCCCTTTAGCTAGGACCTCATACAGTCTTTTAATCTCAGTCGGCGCAGGCATCCAGTTTTTGGGGTCCTCCATTTCCTCGTCGCTATATGGAAGCTCCCAGTCGTCGTCGCCAGCCACCACAGCCTGCTTGCCGTCCTCAGTGTCCCCTATGGTGACCTCTTGACTTTCAGCTTTCTGCATCTCCTCTTCTGCTGCATCTGTGATCTCATCTGAGAAAATCAGAGATGGAATAAATACAATATATTATAAGTATAGTATATTATAATACAATAAGTATAGTATTATACTTTTATAATACTCATATAAATCCTTATTTCTCCTGCTGTCTTAAAGGTGCAGTGTCCTGTATTTTCCAGGCACCCATTGTCACTTTGTATCACAATCAGGTAACTGTTGACTTCAACTGTTATTAAAATGCTGTCTATACTTTGGCTAAGGCTCATCATCCTTCACATCATCCTATTTTTAAAATGACTTTGTATTTCTTTAGGGGATTTATGTGACAGACCAACACACATTTGGAAAATTCTGAATAATAATGCAGTGTTTCCAAGAGATTTAAAGAATAAAAAAAGAAAAATATGTCCTGTAGAAAAGTGGGTTTTATGGATGCAGGATAATAACAAACAAGAATCATATCCCCTACTCCAACGACAGTTTCTAACTGTACAACCAGGCAGAGATTTAAAGAGAAGCAGCAAAAGCAGATGAGGTGGATTAGCAGTGATTGAAAACCACTGGTGATGTCATCTAGGACATATTAGTGTGGATTATTGTCTCTGGTGCTTGGAAGTTGTGTCAAGTGATCCCGTAGCATGCTAGCAAGTTGCAGATGCCAGTTAATCACCTAATAATTTAGGACAGTGTGTAGCTGCAGGAAATGACCTAAAACATACAGAATAGTGGATCTTGAGGAGCACAATTGAGAACTACTAGTTTTAAACAAAACATTGTTTCAGACTCCAGATCTAAATCAAAGTACATGTACATGGGAAGGCATAAAAATTGCAATTTGCAGTCATCCCCATCAATTGAACTTGAGCTATTTCAGTCTACACAAGTACTAATTTGTACAGTCAAAAGACTGCAATTGCAGTTAAATGTTGGTTCTAATTTTAAAAAAATAAATGGTTGTAAATCCTGTTGCAGGGCTGTAGGGTCTGAAGCATTTGACTTATGTTTTGTTGGTCTATCACGTGTAGATGCTGAATATTTTGTTTGTAAATGAGTTACCTGCTTCATCCTTAGCAGCAGAGTCTTCCTCCTCAGTGGCAGCTGTCATCTCTGTGTCCTGTTGCTCAGCTGTGCTCTCCTCCTCTTTGTCTGCAGCCGGTTTCTCGGAGTCCTTCACGCCCAAGGACTCGATGCCCTCTCTGAGGGCAGAATCTGTGGCTTCAGCTTGCATCCTTTATGCTGCTGGGGGACATTAATAACAGGTCTGCGTTATTTGCAAAGCATTTAGTCGGGAAGGTGCCAAAAAAAAAAAAACAGTCAGATAGTAATAGTTGAATTTTCGCTTTCAACAGCTTGTGCATCTTTACGTTTTATTCTTGTTTTAACATAAACACTCAGCACAAAACTTACTTTCATCCTTCACTTTTCATGCTAGCTAGAATCAGGCCTGTCCGTTAGCTCTGTTTCAACATAACACATTCAAATAAGATACAAACCTTAAAATCTAATTTCGCCTTCGTTCGTGGATCGCTTAAATTATACCTAAAGTGGTCATCGGGTTATTTTCTAAGCGATAAAATCACCGCATCTCCCCATGAATTTTATTAAGAGCAATACAGGATGAAACTGAGACGTAAACACAGCGCCATTTTGGCTGGAGGAACCGTCAATGACGAGTTTCTTCGTTCTGTTGGAATCCTGAAATCCCGTCGATCTAAAAGTACATGGATGGTCCACGCATATAAAAAAAGGCTGTGGTGAATTGTATTGAGATCTAGACATGACGTTACTTCCTGTTCCGTACGCATAAGCAGCGCGGGTATTTATACATATGTTTTTATGTCTTTTTTATTTTAGCAAATACGAATGTAATTAATTTTTATCGTGATTCTTTGAAAATGATGTATTTTTTCACACAGGTTATTTTTACAATATGAATAAGGATGAAATATAGCGAAAGCGCGTTTTAATTCTGATTGGCTGTTGAACACTTCCGGTCTGTTAGTTTGAAAAGTATTTGGGCAAACAGTGGCTCGACCGTTACAGTTAAAAGGAGGCCCCAACAATGTTGCTGAATTTGGAGTTTAGTCGATAACAAATTATTTATCTAAAGACGTTCTGCGTTAACATCGGTAAGACGTGAGCCGCAAATTTAAAAACGTTATTATTTCGTTCTTTACATACCTGTAAACTTTAGTTTAATAAAATGTAAACGGTGAGTTAACTTGAAGCTAGCTTACGAGCTAACGTTGAACTCCTCTTCGGTCACAAACATATGATGTTAGCCATTATTTAATGAAGATGTCTTCTAACTTTACGGCACCTAAATAAGTTGTAATATATTTGTGTGTTGGTTGTTTTTAACATTTTAAAAAGTCATCTGACTCCTTGGTGTTGCCCAGGCCTTTGTTTTTGGGGGACATTCCAAACATGGCGCAGCGTCTGAATGTATCAGATGGGGTAAGCAAGAAAACCTCCAGGGTCCGTGTCGCAGTCCGTCTGCGGCCTTACATGAGCAGACAAGATGAAAAAGACGAGGGTCCTTGTGTTCGAGGCCTGGACTCCCAGAACCTGGAGATAATTAATTGGAGGAATGCAACGGAGACCGTGAAATACCAGTAAGTTCCTGCCCGAAGCCTCGTTCTTAGTTTTGATGCAATTGATGAAACTAATTTGTAACTCTTTCACCTAGTCAAAGTAAAATGATCATCTTCCATTTTCAGTTTTTTTTATGTATGCTTTTTTTAAAAATATATTTGAAAGAAAAAATGTAATTTACAGCATTGATGGGAGGGACAAA